GTGAATTCCGTGGAGGTTAGAACTAAACTGGTTTTAAATTATTTGAGACGACTCACGCCACGGGAGAAAAAATCAGCGGAAAGAAAAGACGATATAAAAACACGTTTTCTTAACCCTTTGAAGCCGAAGATCGTCTGAATATTATTTATGAATTCAGTCCGTACCGCGAAGAAAACACTACACCTCACCATTACGAAAATCAGCTGGTTAACCCTTTGAAGCCGAAGCTCGTCTTCATAATATTTACGAATCCAGACCGTACCGCGAAGAAAACACTTCACTTAACCATTAGAAGTCGAATCAGGCGGTACCACATAAGATTTAACAAAAGAACATCCCGGTCTAAGCCTTAATTGTAGCACCAATTTTATTTTGTTTCAAAGGGAACACGTATAAATTGGTTTTGAATAAATGTGGTACTGGTCATGGAATTCTTAAATTCTTTAGACGAACTTCGGCTTCGAAGTGTTAGTGCGTGTCCGGTTTTGCACACGACACATAGGCCATTTGCCTGACACGGAACTCGCTATGCAGCGTTTCACGAGTTTCCATCAATCAGTGCTCATATAAGCTACGTACAGAAGACCTCATAAGTCGGCAAAGCAGTCAGTGCGAGATGTTTTTATCATCAGAAGGCATTAACCTCCGCGCTACAACAAAAAGAAAACGAACCCTGTATCGCGTAACAAGGAAAGTTATTCATTTCTCTCTTGTTTGTGAATTAGAGCGCGTCTCGCGTGCAGTGAATCTTGTTCCGAGGCATATACATCCCCAGGGTTCCTGAAAACAGCTGACAGGAATCAAATACCAGGGACAGGACAATCGCGTAACATCATTTCCCTTGCTACACCTGGCGAGATGTACGTGAAGATGGGAGAACAATATTAAAATGGATCTTTTAGAGGGTGTACGGAAGGTACCTGGATTCTACATGTCCAGGAAAGGGACTTAGTGAACACGGCAATGAACGATCCGGTTCCATTAAAATTGATTAATGTGAGCAGCTGAGATATTACAAGCTTCTCCGGGGGGAGGGGTCCATGGAATCCCCTACGTACCCTCCATCACCAAACCAAACCAAAACTCTCTCTCTCTCTCTCTCCACTACAAATCGGAATTTTGTACCTGTTCGTGTCGACACCAGGCATGCCTTCTGCGACCCCAAATTTCCAAATTTTAATAAATTTAAATTTTTAAAATGCATATACAAAAATTTTCTTGTTTTAATATGTTTCAATTAACGCGGAAACTTGTCTAATTTGAAATCACACTTGACTGGGAAGACAGAGGAACGGAAAATATATCTTGAGCTCGGAATTATTAAAAGTACGCCGTTATAATTTTCCCCACCCACGTGATGGCGCCCCCCCCCCCAACAACTGTCACTTCCTTTTCCAAGCTGCCCTCAGTAGGCGCCAAGTTTGACGAGCCCGCTGTACACAAAGAAATGTCAGCGCAGTGCATAGTTCGCTTGTTTCATGACGTCAGTAACAGGAAAGACCTGACTCCGTATCCAAGGTTCAGTTTACGACCTCGATTACGGTATCGACACGGTTGCCCTGATTTCGGAAGTCCGCACTTCAAATCCAAAGTCCAGATGATGGTCTTCTGGGATGTTGCGCCATGTAGTCTACTGACAGGAGCATACTGCTTCCATCTTCAGGGCTGAAGTATCAATCTCCTCATCCTATGGCTTTGACTAGCCAGTTAACCTGGTATGATCCTCCTCTAAACCATTCTAACTTTAACCCCCCCAAGATGGAGGCAGTATGACCCTCCTGACCGGTGGTAATAAGCCAAACGATTGCTGGGAGCAACAACCCCGAAGACCACCATCTTTTTTGTTTGAGTTTTGTTGTTGTTTCGTATGACTTCGAAACTATTGGAGCAGGGGTTCTCAACCTTCTTCGATGGCGTACCACTAATTATAATTTAACACATTAAATGTACCACTAACCAAATGCGTTCAGGGAAAACTTATTTACGTTAATATAATCTTTTGAATTTCTTACTCAGATCGCGTACCGCTCAACACTTGCTCGGGTACCACCAGTGGTATGCGTACCATAGGTTGAGAAACGCTGTACTAGATCATACTTCGTTGAGGAAAAAAGTGAAAATACGCTATCACAGAGCCTACAGTGTTACGAGGAATGCTTATCACAAACGTGATCATCACACACATATAGCTGAATTTTATTTATTTAGTGTTCTGTCTGACGACAGGTCCATATGAACAGGATCCTTCAATCCTTTTCTCGGACTGGGACCTGTTCATATACGTTCTTGGCAGATGATCCAGAAGTGGTTTGCCATTAAAAATATCACCAAAGTCAAGAATATTTTTCTTTACGCATAATCGTCTACATAAGTGGTTTCAGAAATATCCATATAAACAACACGTGGGCCCGTTTTTCCTGCTCTGTTTCTGAGCTACAAGAACCACTCTTACAGACCAGGGACCTTTTTCGGAGTTCTGGCTTCAAATGCCAAGTTTGAGGCAAACTGATTCACCCTTTCGAGATACAAGCGAACACGCATACCCACATTTTGAATTTAAAACATTTGTTTATTAGTTACTTTTTTTTCAAAATGAAACAGTCGAAAAGACACGAGGTTACGCAAAAAGGTCACAATTTTTTTTTAAAAAATTAGGCTTACACAAAATCTACGAACTCCTGGGGAAAATATGTTGTCCAGATATGATCCAAGGACATGCTGATGCTTGAGTTCTCGTAGTTTGTGATGTCGTGTGGTCTTGTATGCGGGTATTAACGTTTAGGAGGAATATTCTGCCTCCATCCTCAGAACTGAAGCGGTCGTGAGAACTTCAAATCCAACTTTAGAAAATCGTTAGCTTAATCGTATGTTAGCCGGCTTTGGACATCTCTTTGTAGTAAGGATTCAGTGTTTGGCGAAACTCAATATCTATACATCAAACACACCCTGGCGACCGTGAAAAGAAACTTCAGGAAATGTCTCAGCAGTTGAATTATTTATTACCTTACCAGGAAAAGGCTTAGGGCAGTAACCTCAGGCCCACAAAGGCCCAATGTAATGAAATTAAGTAAATTCCCTGTTATTAAAAATTGGCAAAAGCTTAAAACAATAATTCTCAGTAATTATAAATACATATAATAATGGTTGTGAAACTTTGATGTAATTTCTTTACTGCAATACTGTATTATATCAGACATGTCCGTAAATAACTATAAAATTTTTGTATTTAATCTATTGTATTGTACTTGTATTATGCCATATTCTGCATCCTTGGCTTAGGCCTATGAAGGATCTATGGAATGTAAATAAATATTATCATAGTCTGCTTCTATCTTTCGAACATAAAAATGCATTAAACATACACAACGTATCATATTACGGGCAAACTTGATACTTATTGTTGAAACTACAGTCAGTACAGTGATTGCATTTGAAAATCCATTTACCCTTCCCAATTACGAACAGGTCATCTCAATTCCTGTGGCAACACCATAACACCTACATTCCAGCTTCACTCTGTGGCCACCTTTACCCGTGGCTTCGTCAAACGTCTTTAACCTAATAATGACTTATTAAATAATGTAGATAAGATGTCTGTTGTGTCTAGATCCTGTACATTTCTAAAGCACTACCTTCAAAGTATTAATCTATCATTCAGAGATTCTTCGATACTTCTGTTGATTGATATTCCACAAAAAAAGTAATTGTGTGGGTGTACCGGTACAGCTATCTATTATAATTCTACATTATTCATGTCCACGTGTAAAATCACTTTATTTTCCCCGAATCTCTTTTACACAGAATCACAAATTATCGATTAGAAATAGTACTCTTAACCCCAGTACTGTGAAAGTCAGTAGGTGAACATAAAAACACGTACCGTTACGCCAATCTGCCGTTCACATCCCTAACAAGGCGACTGTCAAAGCCAGCATGAGGTGGGCAGATACCTTTCCATTATTTGGACTCCGAAATTAACCTGGAAGGGCATTACAGTCAAGTCTGAAATGAAGCTGGTACTTACCTGTAAGAAGCGTTGCTGAACACGATTGACTTCAGATCAAGCGGCCATCACACTACTGAATGCATATAAAATTACACTCACACAAAAGCAATAGCACCAACCAAAACAATTTCAATCTCGGGACTCTGAAGGAATGCTAATAGCTGCAAAGTCCCATGTCTACTACAGTCTGACTCAGCCATTCACTGCGCAGAGGGGACTGCGCAGAAATAGCGCCATGCACGCAGGCGAGAAGACATGTGCTAGCTTCTACACTTACGAGATGCACGTCATTCCTGCACTCCAAATACTGTAGTTAAAAGTACGAATGGGATCCACTGCCATCTGTTATATATGAAGTTAAGCGTATCGTAAAGTCAATATAATGCTACACGAATAAATTGTATTTATAATGTACTGTCACTTATTCTGCGTGCTGCCGTTGTTCACACGTAATTTGAACTTTTCACGCCTTCGATATATGGCTGAACGATGGATAACAGGTTATTGTTTTGTGGCACCATGTAGTAATATTGTACGTATATAGATGGGAGCAGGATCGGAATTTAAAAATCGATATAATCAGGAATGTAAACTTAATTAAAGTTATACATTTAAAATTGTTTAGAACATTTCAGTATAAAGATTAAAGGTTAATCTCTTTATCAAAATAAAGAAAGATATGTATAACATACGTTTGTATCAAATCTGTATATTGTGACCGGATGTTCTTGTCTCACTATTTCATTGTTATACAAAGTGGCGACACTGACAGAAATTGAACGTAATACATTTGCGATAGCCGGATTATTTTTCGTTGTTATTGTATTGGTTTTATAATGGGGGTACCAAAGTTTTTTAGATGGATTAGCGAGAGATATCCATGTTTAAGTGAAGTTATCAGAGAATATCAGGTACTATCTACATCTAATTATGAAATAGAAAATATTAGAATTAGTTTAATGTCAAAATTTCTAATTATTCAATCTTGTTTCAGATTCCGGAATTTGACAATTTGTACTTGGACATGAATGGTATAATTCATATGTGTTCACACCCAAATGATTTTGATCCTCATTTTAGGATAACCGAAGAGAAGATTTTTAAGGATATTTTTCACTACATTGAAGTAAGTTTTGAAATAATTTGTAGCAGAAATGGGTCATAATTCAAATGAATATGATTGGAATTATGCAATTTTGTTTTTTCCAGGTCTTATTTCGAATGATTCAGCCTCAGCGATTGTTTTTTATGGCAGTAGATGGGGTGGCTCCAAGAGCTAAAATGAACCAACAGAGAGGTCGCAGGTGAGTTTTTATTAATCATTAACTATAACTAAGTAAACCTGAAGTTAGAAACTGGTCATTGTATTTTAAAGGTGCTCTATCTACAGCTCATAAGCACAATAAACTGACATTTCAGCTGATACTACAATTAATCTGGTGAATTTTTATGCTTAAACTGCAGCACTCACAAATTGCACAATAGCAGCTGTATACTAAGAAATAATATGAACGTTTACCATAAAAATAATTGCTTGTACCAGGTTCCGATCTGCAAAGGAGGCAGAAATTCTTGAGAAAAAGGCTCGTGAACGTGGTGAGGTACTACCCTCAGACGCGAGGTTTGACTCAAACTGCATCACACCAGGGACTGAGTTCATGGCTCGCTTGCATGAGCAGCTCAGGTACTTTGTGACATACAAGGTCACTACAGACACACTTTGGCAGAAAGTGAAGGTCATTCTATCAGGACATGAGGTGAGCATCTCTGTGGCAGGGGTGTCATTCTTTTTCAGCCTCCCCCCCCCATTTCATATATTTTTACATTTTAACTAATGTAGTAGGATGAAAATAACAAGATAAATTTGACACATGAGGTCTGACATGATCCATAGTTAAGATGTACAATAATGTGTCTTATAATGTTGTAGACTCCAGGTGAAGGTGAACACAAAATAATGGACTACATACGGTACATGAAGTCGCAACCTGGCCATGATCCGAATACACGTCATTGTCTCTATGGGCTGGATGCAGATCTTATCATGTTGGGTCTCTGTTCTCATGAACCTCACTTTTCTCTGCTCCGAGAAGAGGTGAAATATGGGCGCAAAGCTAAACAACAACGCACATCAACTCCTGAGGAGACAAAGTTTTTCTTGTTACATCTCTCCCTGATGCGAGAATACTTGGAATTGGAATTTGGAATTCTCAAGACGATGCTGTCCTTTCCGTTTGACATCGAGAAAGTCATAGATGACTGGGTAAGTGGCAGCAATCTGGGAATTTGGGTAGTGTGAAGACTGCTAGTTTATTGTTCCAAATCTGATGAGCTTGGGGACCAGATAGACTCGATGGACAGGGCGTAAGAGAATGTGTGTCTGTGCGCACAGAGACTCGAGTGTGTTGTTGTTGTAGAGAGATGACTGTATCTGATTTAATTTGACGTGAATAAATCAGGGTTGACAATCCAAGGTCGCAACGCCGACCCACGTTACAATATATATAAACACGTCACCCTCTGTGGACTAGTGGTTAGCGTGCTCGCCACTCGACCCAAGGTTCGCGGGTTCAATCCCAGCCGAGGTCGATGGATTTTGAAGGGGGATAAAAATCCGTAGTGCTAGATGGCTCTGGCAGTCAAATCAGGATTGAGTAGAAATTGTGCAGTCAGTGGGCTTGTCACTCATAATGCATAAATGCACGCTTTGAAAACTAAGAAACCTCCGAAAGGAGGCGGAAATGACCCATTGCTGGGTTAAGCTACTAAAAAGAAAGAAGAAAAATATATAAATGCAAATGGGACGGTGCCTGTAAACTGGATGTAGGCAGGAGGGTAATATTAAAATGTATCACAGGGAAATGGATGTGAATGGGTAGACTGAACTCATCTTATGGAGGACAGGCTCATATAGAATTCTTATGTGGACAAAATGAAAGTTGGGAATTTGTATCTGCAATAAATGAACACCGAGACCAGTGAAATATGTAAAATTGCAGAGCATGCATTTGAAAAATCTTGTTTTGTATTTATGATGCAAGCAATTTTGTAATGATTTTCTTTGATTTTTAGGTTCTGATGGGGTTTCTTGTGGGTAATGACTTTATCCCACCACTTCCTGACATGCACATTATCAACGGGGCACTGCCCACCCTATACAAGGCGTACGTCGATGTGTTGCCAACGCTTGGTGGTGAGTTACGTTCAGTAGGCCCACTTCAGTCTGCTTCAGTCTCACTTTGAAAATTCTTCTGCAAGTTGTGTTAAGTTTGTCCCTTCCGAGTGTTACTGAATATAAGGTAACGCCTCTACACCAGTTGTTAAATTTGGTTTTTATGTGTAGTCATTTTTTTTTATAATCCTTGTTGGTGATCTGATTTTTGAGCCATCCAAGTGATAATGAATTTTCACAAATGAATTTGAAGCTCAAGAACTTTCAGACTTGGACCTGACTACTGCGGTTAATAAAAAAAAAAGAGGGTAGGTAAGGGTTAAATGTCTCAGAGATGTTTTTAAAGCAGTGGTCCCCAACGCGATGTCCGCGGGCGCCATGGTGCCCGCCAAGGCTCTTTCAACGCCGACCCACGTTACAATATATATAAACACGTCAGCAGAAGACCAAGTGCAGAACTCAGTTATAGTCTTGAGTATTAAGCTTGGAGTATTCAAGTTGTCTTCACTAAACAGTTTATGTTGTTCTCGGAGAAGAGGAAAATATTTAACAAATGACAAGAGACGAGTCAGCTGAGAGTAATTTTTGTTACTTAACATTGAAATGTTTTATCCTGCAATCTTAAAGTATGTTGTCAATTTTTATTGTAGAACAACTTATTGATATCTGTTCCTTTACCTCTCCAGGTTGACACTGGTGATCCTGAAATAAAAGTAACTGTCAACAAACGTGCACAACTTATTTATTGTATGATCTAGATTTATGTACATAATTTATAACAAGAACAAACATTTCCATGTCATGTAGCACACTGACAGTGTGGTACTGTATTTGTATGTGATGAACAGTAATAGTAATTATTTTGTTCTTATATGTGTTTCACGACATGATCAACTTTTGGCACCGCATTTTAAAAAATAAAAGTTGCAAACACATCTTTATATAAAAATGTGTAGAGAGATGGTATAGCAGGCAGAAATACATGTTGTGAATACAAAGGAACTTTGTAAGAACATGTGATGGCATTAACAGGCACGGATTAGTAACAATGGCAAATTCAGCAACAGTTTTTGTTTGAATTAACTAGGGTTGGCAGTTTGTTCAAAATTTACATATCTCATGTTCTGTACTGATCAGATAAGGTATTCCTAAATACTTTCTTAATATTTTAGTATAATGTACGAAATTAAGCCTCATAACTCCATGGAGCAGAGTCCTTGAGAAATTAAAAGTCCCAGAGTTAGTCGAGAATTTCCCTACCTGATATTTTGGAGGTGCTTACTACCTCCATCATCCAGACTCATCACCCTGATGACTGAGCCAGTAAGTACCTCTGAAACATTGGTGCATTTCTACCAGACTATATGGAGCAACATTCCAGAAGACTTCATACTTATACCAACAAGAACCTGAAATTTCACTGTTCATTACCATATTCACAAAATACTGCCACTTGTCCCTATCCTGAGCCAGAAGATTATGTTCCTGATTGTTCCACCCTGCTTTTCCAAGACCCATTTTAATATGACAGTTTATCTACACACAGATGTACCATCCATCCTGTTCCTCTGATACCTGGTGAAAAATCATGAAGCTTCTCAACATTTTTTCCACATCACACTAACTTCCCACTTGAGTAATAATAATTGTACTTATAAAACTATGTGTTTTTGATTGCACGGTTTCTTGTATCATTAAACGTCGTGTTGTTTTGTGTATTATTTGGTGTCCATATCTTATTTGCCCAGAGAAAGGAAAATTTGGCTTTGTTAATTGGTTGGTGCCTGCCACAATCGAATAAACTCTCAAATGTGCCCGTAAGCACAAAAAGGTTGGGGACCACTGGTTTAAAGTATTGAATAATAATTCTTGTCAGTAAATTTTTCAGGCTTGATGTGGTTGGTCTTCAGATATCATATTGGTAAGCCTGCTGATTGCATTTACCTGCTCTTTGTGTGGTGCAGGTTACATCAATGAAGGTGGAACACTCAATTTAGAACGCTTCCAGAAGTTCATGGAAAAGCTGTCCGCATATGATTTTGAACAGTTTAGGGATACATACGCAGACCTTAAGTTTTTTCAAGCTAAGACAGGGCGACGTCTGGGAAGTAAGGAACGCCATAGTGTGAGTAACTAATGATCATGCAGAACTGAATGTTGGTAGTCTGGTACTATTGATCTCAGGACATATTGCTTCCATCTTCAGATTTGATCTTGTAGGTTATAATGCTGTATTTCACGCAGTGTTACGACCAAGAATAACATTATCGACACTGTTATTTTCAGTAGTGCTGATAATCTGAAATCAACTTCAAAAGAATGAAGTTCATCTTAAATTTATGAACATGATATTGAACATTAAAGAGAAGCGGGAGATTTCTTGAAAAGTGAATGCCCATAAACTGTCAAGTGCTTACCCCTTAAATGCCAACCTCCATGCCTCTCATAGACGTCAGTTTCGTTCTCGATACCATCGTTTATGTGGTATAAAGCAGGTACTGTTTATGGGGGTTTAAATCTGTACAATTCACAGGGTGTGGGACACTATTTAAATGGCTACCATCACTGAAGGGTTAAGAAGACTGTCTATGATGGTATTAGTATGTGTGGTACTTTATACTTGAACAGTTGCTCTTTCTATGCTTTTGTTCTGGCTAGTTCTAGGCATGACGTATTACACTCAAAACTAAAGAACACTAACTTAAAATACTTCAAAAGGACTTTGGTTTATGACGTTAATTCAGAATTTGTCATGTCGACGTTACAGTATAAAAACACTGGTACAAAAGAGAATGAAGAGTTGTTTGAAGAAGACGTCGATGCTGCAAGACCTGTGAGAAATACAGATGTGGAGACCCTGGTTCAGATTACGGAGCAGGAACTGCGGCCGGAGTTGGGGACTCTGAGCGAAGATGAGGATGACGACGTCGATGACTGGGAGGAATATGAGAGCGACGAAGATGCGCATGCCAATGCTCTTTTCCACCTGGAGTTTCGCCAACACAAGAAGGATTATTACATGACGAAGCTGGAATATGACACTGTGGACAGGTGTGCAGCAAGTAATTGTATCTACTCTGTGTAATTATCAGTACTCATCTTACATTAAAGGTAAAAGTTGGATGTGAGGTTCTCATGATGATGAGTATGAAGATGGTAGCACCGTGTAGTAGGGTACACATTTACCGGTGTTTCAAACGTCGTCGCTACCTCTGTGATCAGGGTAGTTAGTGCCGTCATGGTGGAGGCAGCGAGGACCTCAGAAATGTTGGTAAATTTGTACCCTACTGCACGGTGTTACAAACCACGAGAGAGTCATCTTCAAAGGTAAAGTTGCTGACACTTCGTGACAGTACTGCAACTTTAATTCATTTACAGTTGCCATCACATATGGATCATACTTCTCTTTGTAAGTATTTTGATACTTTTTAATAATAATTTGTCATGAGATTTAATTGAAGAAATGAACGAAGTAGGTGAAGCTGTTCAAACATTACATCGTGCCCTTCCTCAGTACCCACTGATAAGAAGTTTTATCTCCCCCCACCCTAATAATTATAATAATCCGTGGCGTAACAGCCCTCTGAGAGCCAAAGCTGACTAGCTGGCTGCTGGCCTCACATTCACATGCCTAAGCAGAGGTGAACGATCATCCAACCAGATATAGGGTGACGTGTGGTCAGCACGACGAACCCCCAGCCATTGCTAGTTTTCATGACCGGATTACGCTACCCATTGTAGCTCCCCAATTTCCACACGATGCTGGGTTGGCACCGGTCGAAAATCTCATGAGAAATTTCTTTCTCTGAGACTCGAACCAACGGGCATTCCATATCACCGGTCCGAAGCATGATGCCTCAGACCGCGCAGCTACATAACGGGAACTCCCCCCAACCTATTTCATCTCTAAATTTGACTGCTCATTTTTTACACTTTAATTTTCAAAATTGTAACTGTTGTTCCCCAAAATCTCGTGTTATCTCATTATTTACCAATACCAAATTTAACCAAAATCTGTCATATTTTGAGGTGAAATGTGGTCAGATGGACAGGACCTTGCCATTATGCATTCATTACATGTACTTTGTGCAAAGAACTTACAAAATATCAAGCATTTACCATCAAAAGTTTCATTTCTACTTTACTTAGTATATTGATTCTCGTATTTTTCAGTGATGTGCTACGATCTCAGGCGGATGGCTATGTGCGCGCCATCCAGTGGAACCTGCACTACTACTACAATGGGGTGTGCTCATGGTCTTGGTTTTACCCACATCACTACGCTCCATATATTTCAGATATATGCAATTTTTCAAAGAATTTGGAACTAAATTTTGACATGGGGAAACCATTTTTACCTTTCCAGCAGCTCTTGGCTGTTCTGCCTACAGCTAGGTAATACCAACTGTTGATGCTTAATAAATATATTTATTTAGGTATCTGTTTTAATTTTTGTTGGCGTTGTTTTGAAACTAACATAGCATTTTATACCGCAGAAAACATTGGAAATATGTTAGTTTCAAGAAAACATAAAAGATCTATCTCTGCTTGTTATTATTTATGATTACAGTTCGACCGATTATAATGCGATACTCTGCCTGTCGCCAGTATTGGTGTTAAAGTAGGGCTATCGATGAAGTGAAATATTTTATTTTTGAGTGTATTTATATTTATTAATGCATTTAAGTGCCATATGATGTGTGAAATGCAAGTCAAGTACCGTCTAAAACAGCTACTTATCGTTATTACAATCTCAGTTTTTTGGGCAATGTACATAATAATACAGATTTGACTACTTGTACTGATTACAGTAAAACGTTGTTGCCAGTACCATATCAACAGTTGATGTCAGAGAAGGAGTCCCCCATATTTCACTTCTACCCATCTGAATTCAAGACAGATCTCAATGGGAAGAAACAGGAGTGGGAAGCCGTTGTTCTCATCCCGTTTATTGACGAGGTAAAGTGGCGATGCCCGATGATAAATCTCCTCGTAAGACGTACATTATAAGTAGTATTTATTCTGCCAGATGTTTTTCTTATCACTTGTCAAAAAGAGGTGGCAATTATAACATAAGATGCCTGTCTTCTCGGTTATAGTGCTGTGTAGTCTGGTAGTAGTTTACCTAATATTTCAGAGATTCTGCTGCTTCTACCACTCTGTTGACACACTCAGGTATGTATCACATGTAATATGTTTCACTATGAAATGGTTGGATGTGCCAGTAACACAGCAACACATTCTTCTTCTTCTTCTATGGCTCTCCGGTCCGTATTCGGTCCATGGCCTCCTCAATTCTCCTCTCCTCCGTTAGGTCCGTCTGTCCGAGGCTTTGATTGAGGTTTCGAAACATCCTCCTTTTTACAGTGCAAGGTTGTTAGCCTTGCAACCAACCCCCAACCTGGAGGATGAGGTTACATGTCTTAGTCAGACCTCTCTCCCTCGACCAATCTGGCTAGGGAGGCCCTACCAGTAGCTATGCTACCGCCAGCATTGCTCTTGGGGTCACTGAGGTACTCAAGCCCCACTACCACGACAAGGTGCAGGTACCATTAAGTGGGGCACAGCAACACATTACTTGGTTCCATTGTTTTAACCTTAAATCACCAAGTCTGAGTAAACTTGCATCATTTTACTGCATTAAAAACTCACGCGTTCTACAATGTGCTGTCGTACATACCAGAGGAGAGGAAGCGGCGTAGCCTGTGTCATGTACAGAGTGTCCCCAAAAGACGTATACAAAGCAAGTTAGGGGCTTCATCTCTGACCTGGCACTCGACTGATCTTGGAATCGAGCGTTTGTTTAAGTGATCATTCTAAAAGCATTACTTGCCACTGATGGAGAATGACGTGAGGTAGTTGTGGAACACCAGTTGCTGGACAGTAACTTGAGTAGTATTAAGAACATTAAGTCTGAATGAAGCAGCTGGCTACAAATAAGAAGTATTGTTATATCTTGAAGTATCCTAAGCCTTTGAATAAGTTTTTTTTAATGCATGCGTCTTAATATTCCCATGTTCTCTGGGGCAACAGGAATCACTTCTGGAGGCCATGGCTCCCTGCGAAGACCTTTTGACCAAGGAGGAACGCAGACGTAATAGTCATGGTCCTATGCTTATCTACAAATACACGGAAGAAGACCTTGGTATGGAAAAAATTATGTTTCACTAATAATACAAAGTTTGCTTTCATTATTCTTGTTTTGTGTGTATATGGACACATTATACTGTGTGTAAGTCACATTTAAAATGACGTAAATATTATTTCTTGTGTGTCAGGTCAATATGCAGCGCCAGAATATTTTCCTCCTCTTAAGAGCAACCATGCATTAGTATGTAAGAAAATAAGAGATGAAATTCACGTCGATCGCAGTCGCCTAGTGAGGGGTTTGTGCCCTGGTGTGCGGCTGGATGTCTACTTCCCAGGATTCCCCACACTGAAGCACATTCCTCATACCGTGAGTTGTCATGTTATAGACACAGTGAATGTTTAACGCATTCAGATTTGTTATTATGTAGTCTCGCCTAGTAAAATCTCTTGTGCTGGTCTTTCGTCAAGCACTTTGTATGGAAATATAGCACTACTGCAGCGTATGCTGTGCATTAACTAAAGGCCGTTTGCTGATTTGATTGGCTACGTCCTTCGTAAAAGATTTGTGGAGTGCAGTAATGTCCAGAAAGTAAGGTAAGGAATAAAGCAGGATGGTCCAACTGGCTTCCCATGGGCCACATGTAGCCCAGGACCACTTGTAACCGGGTTAGTTAACTTATTTACTTGTTACTGGTTACTACAAGCTCATTTATTAGATTTACTGAAGTTATTTGGAAAAAATCATGATTTTTATCTCATCTGGTGCTTTATGGACAAGTGCTATAAATGCTATTGACTTTAAACTTTACCGTAATATAAGTTTTCCAGGCAAAAATTGTGTCAGTTACAAGTTGTTGCGGAAGCATATTTGAAATAATACATACTGTTCGCGACTGTAATCTCCAGACTCGCAAGGAATGCAGGAAGTCTGAAGCGTTGAAGGCTGACACTATCTTTCCTCCTCCCTCCTTCACCCCACTTCCTCACCTCCACAAGTCTCAAGATTACAGTCCTGAACTATACCTATAATAATTTGTGCACATTTCAGTAAAATTTATATTTTGGCATTTGCTGTGGTAATTTGTCATTAATAAATAATTATTTTCAAAGATAAAGAAAATTGGATGTTGAAAATTAGTGTCGGGAGGGGCCGCGGGCTTCGTCTCTGACCTGGCACTTGGCTGATCCTGGAATAATTATGATAAGTGATATTCATTATGTGAGTTATATTTAATGTACTTTTTTGTGGGAGTTGAATCAATTCTCGTGTGCAGGTACAGGTAATCTGTTGTCATCGCCAATAATATCAAAACTAATTGTGGTATAACTATTTTTTTAGCTATAACATTTAAAATATTTGTCATAGGCATCACTGCAGAAGTGCAAAGTGAAGGTGTTTGAGCAGCCAAGTCAAGGCACCAACATGATACTGCAGATTGTGGACCAAGGAAAACCAGATATTAAAGAGGTTGCAACTGAGCTCTTGGGACACACCATTTATGTCGGGTGGCCCCATCTTGTGGAGGCTAAGTGAGTGCTGCTTCATACTGAATGACATTTATTTCTCATACCAGATGAATAGGAGCTTTAAATAAATTAAAAATTGCCTGGGTAGTAGATACAATTGGAGACACTCGGTTATCTTCTTCTATGGCTCTCTGGTCCGTATTCGGTCCATGGCCTCCTCAGTTCTCCTCTTCCATCCGGTCCTCCGTTAGGTCCGTCTGTCCGAGGCTTTGATCGAGGTTTTGAAACATCTTACTTTTTACGGTGCAAGGTTGTTAGCCTTGCGACCAACTCCCAACCTGGAGGACCAGGGTACCTGTCTTAGTCTGACCTCTCCCCCTCGACCAATCTGGCTAGGGAGGCCCTACCAGTAGCTCTTGGGGTCACTGAGGTACTCAAGCCCCACCACCACGACAAGGTGCAGGTACCATTAAGTGGGGGACACTCGGTTATTCTTTATTATATTTTAAGGTTTATGGCTGTCTTACTGAATCACTGCATATGTCTGTGTTTTCAGGGTGGTGTCTGTGTCAAACAAGGAGTTCCGCTATGGGCTGCAGGAGGACTCGGCTTTGAAACCGCCACAACTCAGTATTGAAGAGGTGAAGGGCACTTCTGCAGCTCAGTGGACCCTACAGCTCAAGGGCATCCAAGAACAGTGAGTACTAGAGAGTCTGCTCGTGAAAGTGTGCTCCATTTACGGACAAGTCTTCTGAATAAAACTCCCACTTTATCAGTTCACTACCTGCTTCACATTGATTGCACTATTTACAACTTTTGTTTTATTTGTGTGGTTCAGGATTTTGGTAGATGTACGAGGCCTGTTTTCAGGGGACGTGGGAGTGGGCATCGTAGCGGGAGACAGGTAGTTGTTGCAGGAATGTAGTTATTGTGCCTCTGAATAGTTTGTTTATGCTGGAATGGGTAACTATTAATAATCCATAGCCTAGATAGAAGTCACTGGTATGCATAAAGATAACGTGGTATGTGATGTCATTTGATGGTACACCCTTTTATACACCAGGTGGTGAATATTCAAATCACTTTAAGTAGGTTTTTGAAGAACACTTACAACTGGTGTGTCTAAATTGAATTTTGTTGTTATGAAATGCCAGAAACCATATCTGCATCTGTTTACTTCTTGATGTTTTCCTGGGTTGTGATGCTGTATAGACTTGCAGGTAGATACCAGTATTTTGGAGAACTAAAATTTATGGACCCTGTCACCCTTGCAAGACTGTACAATACAGGTTGTGATGCCTTATATTTGACAGTTATGCCAATCGCATGGGCGTGCAAATAGGACAGACAAACATCTTGGTGCATGCCACAACCTTGATTGGCAGGAAGTACGTCTATGGCCTGACAGGGAAGATAACGATTCAAAAGCAGGTAATTGATGTTTGATACTTGATTCCTTGAATTTTTTATCATGATATACACTGAAGTCTTCTGCTGCGTCAAATATAAAATTTTGAGAAAGCAAGTTAAGCTAGATCCCCACCCTGGTTTGTCACTCATATTAGTCGGTAGGTGCCCTATCACCCTATCGTTGAGGGTAACAGAATTTTCCCTGTCAGCTTCCCAACTTAGAAATTGATTTTTGACTTGCATAGGGTCACCAGAGGTGAGGAAGGATCATCATAGACCATACATGGGGGCATTAGAAACCAAGCAACCAAGTCTGTAAGAACTTCCTTGCTTTTATTGATCATTAAAATTCTCATACTGTCTCAGATATAGACAGTAGAATGTAGTGAGAGGTAAGGGTCATGGTGTAGTACCTTTTAGGCCAAGAGAAAGTACCTGCTCATCCTTTGGATGTAGCTCTAGAGTCAGTATTCATTCAAAAAATGTTAAATAGTTTTATTGTAGAAATTTTTTCATCTACATTGTGTAATTTATCCCCTACGATTCTTATTAAGACATACTGTGATTCCATATGTTCTCAAAGAAATTTATTTAAAGTATGAAACATTGAGAGAAATTACTCAGGAACTGGAACCAATGTATGAAATGAACATTACTACCATATCGTGTAAATTTTAAGAAGTTAGTTAACTTGGCATGTTATTAGGAGACAGGAATGAAGCATTGACACTTTCGTGTGCTGTGGAAAATATTTACATACCCCAAATATGAATTGCAGTGGTGTGATAAGCCGACAGCTTATGCCCTACAGACAACGGTGAGAGACATTGCCGTCCACGACAGAACATTTGTCAAGTACCGTTCACTGCAGGAAATGTTTCCACCTAAGTCGGTGTGCTTCATGTTGGGTCATCCTCTTTATGGAGCCATGGGAGAGGCAAGTATGCGGTCATTGCCGAATGTTAACGCGTGTAAGGAAGGTTACATCTGCCAGAATCTCTGGATGTTACTGAACAGATTGATGAAATTTTATATTGTGGAGTGGAGCTTATGTTGAAAGCTTTTAGGTGAAATTTATTTTTGCTCCGTTACGTTACTTGAGGCTAAAATCAGAGTCTGTTCACTTTCCCCAAATTTGCTTGTAAATAAAAGGTAATTGGTGCATGTATAATATGTTTTTTGTAAACGTTGTGGGGAAAATATTTGGAAAGTGAAAGTTGTGGATGGAGCAATAATATTAGAATAGAATGGATATCAGGGAAATAGTTGTGAAGATGTGAATTTGACTGACTGTGATGAAAAATTTTAGGTCTGTAATGGAAGGAATTTGTCTAAAGGGCTAAATTATTTGCTTGTTTATGGAACTAGTGTAGTAGGTACTTAATCTGATTCAAAGAATTATAAGTAAAGCTACATTTTGTATTCTGTTGAAGAAACATAAATTCAAAGTGTCTAAAAATAATTAAATAAAAGGGAAAATTTAGTTGAGGTGTACCTTCTTTCTTACTGAAAGTGCCATATTGTCATTGCTTGTGTCTTTTATTGCGCCGGTAGGTGATCGATGGTGGTACGTCGGTAAAGAGTGGACGAGTGAAGGTAAGCATGTCGGTAACTCCTGAGCCAAACCTGGACAGAGTACGCAAGAAGCATCAAGACTCCAATATTTACTGCTACATGCCTGGTAGGTCAGAATAAATAGTTTGTAGTATATGCTTAACATGATGCCTTGAATGACTGTATAATGCTGGCAGACGTTTATAGCTGCTAAAGGAAAATAATTTGAAGGCATCTGAGGGCCTCTTAGTACCACCTTATTTGAGGTGTGGCTGTTGTCCTAGAATTAATAAAACTACCTTGTAATCTAAATAATGTAAGGTTTGATGTTGTCCACTTATCTTGCCATATTAGAAATGTGGGCTCCGCAGTGGCCGCGCGGTCTGAGGCGTGGGCCTCGTGCCGATTGGTCGCTGGGACCGTGGGTTCGAATCCCACTCAAGCCATGGATGTTGTGTTGTGCTGTCCTGTGTGCAGGTAGAGGCCTTGCAACGGGCTGATCCCTCGTCCAAGGAGTCCTACCGAATGTCTATAGATCAAGCCAACGTAAAGTTGCAACCCGCAGTGCTCAGGCACTTGAAGAACGGGTCATTCCCAGTATCCCATTATTAGAAATGTTTTGTACTGAATTTTCTTGAAATGACTGAGAATAATATGAAATTTTGTAAACATGTCCTTTGTTGTATCAGAATAGAAGATTTAAACTCTCATACTTTAGGGCTGATGGCTTGACTTCACCTCCACGTTAAAAGTTTAGCGATGTACTACTGTTATGCACAGGCACCTTGGACTGCTCATAAGCAGTAATTAAAATTAAATCCGTGGCGTAACAGCTCCAGAGAGACAAAGCCGACTAGCTTGACTGCTGGCCTCACGTTCACATGCCTAAGCAGAGGTGAACGATCATCCAACCAGATATAGGGTGATGTGTGGTCAGCGCGACGAACCCCCAGCCATCGCTAGCTTTCCTGACCGGATTACGCTACCCATTGTAGCTCCCCAATTTCCTCACGATGCCGGGTTGGCACCAGTCGAAAATCTCAGGAGAAATTTATTTCCCCGAGACTCAAACCAGCGCGCATTCCGTATCGCCGGTCCGAAGCACGATGCCTCAGACCGTGTGGCTACGGCGCGGAATTCATAAGCAGTAATGCATGGCTTATATCCATATATTATACTCAAACATAACCAATGTGACACAGGTGTGTTTGTGAGCTTATTATTTACGTTGGGTTGTTGAAGGAAATGTTGCAGCTCAGCGTCTGGGAGTGTCATCGTACCTAGTGTCGCGGGTCACAGGAACCATTTACATTATTCAGGAAGACAAGAATGCCAGTGCGGACTCATGTAAAAAAGTCAATGTTGGGCTAAATCTTAAGTTCAACAAACGCAATGAAGAGGTGAGGTGATGTCACTGCCTAATATTACTGTTGTTCCTCACTTAACATTACTTGTTTTAAGATTTATCTCATGTAATTCTTCCTTTTAAAGATATTTCACCAGTTCAGAGCTTAAACTGTTTGTGAACTTTGACCAATTTTGATTTGCGTTTGAATGTTCAAGTTTGATAACATCTGTTGCCAAAACACATTTGTCATACAAAGTTGCAACAGTTGTTGAACATGATTGTTAATAATTTAAAAAACTTGCGGTTTTTTAACAATCTTAACAGGTGGCAGCCAGAATCAAGATGTTGCTTTCATGGTAAGGTCATTGAGCTCAGTGACTGATGAAAGGCATTCAGCTGGGGTGGTACATACTGCTAACTTATGAGCGTCGGAATAAACATTTTAAAATGAAGATATAAATATATGTTGGCCTATTTTATATTCCCAAGCTCGTGGATTGAGATTGGCCTTTATTGATGGGCCGAGCTGGTTAGGTTGCTGACCTGATGACAGAAGCAGGTCCAGCTTCTGAAACATTGTTCTTTTTAATTTTAAATGTGAAAGACCAAAACAACAACTTTGTGTGATTGAAATGGGGTGTCATGTTGTGAATCTGGTATATTATAACATACCATTGTCAGAAATTTTGAGATTTTGACAAAATCCAGTATTCATTTCTAATTTAGAGTTTTATAAATCTAATAATGGTAAAAAGTTCAAACTCAAAAATCATATTTATAGCGAAGTTGGACTTAAAAATGTGTGTTTGCTCGTCTCTAGTTTCTTTGTTGTCTTGTCTGTCAGATACCAGGGTACACTCGTAAGCTGGGAGCAGTGTGGCAGTATTCTAACAAGGCAGTGGATCTGGTGCAGAAGTACATGGAGCAGTTTCCTGTGCTCTTTGAACACCTGGCCAAACATACTGGGAATGATGTGTTCTACGAATCAGATGTGTTGTCACCTGTGAATGAAGGGGGGTGAGTAATATTCTTTTTTCCATTTTCTATGCTCTTTGCACAAAGTGTGTATAATGAACGTACAATGGGGAGACTGTGTCTCTCTGTCTGTCTGCAGGTTTACAGTCTTATGCCATGTTGCACCTCCAGAAAAATCGGACATCTCCTACCAGAAGAAAGCCATCTTTGCACCTGTGAGAATCTGAAGTGTCACCGTCCATCTGCAAGTTTCATGTGTGATACTACTGATTCATTTTCAGTGAAATTTGGTTTTGAGGTGTTTACACTAAAAGTTGTTTTAACATTTGGCATTATCTGTTACTTATTTAGGGTGAGTTGCTTAACAGCCATCACAGACTGGCTGAAGGAGCAGCCATACACAAAGATAGAGCGACAAGTTTGTGGATCAGAAATTGTGGAGGCAGAATTGGTGCAGGCAATTGAAAAAGAGGTGGATGAGTTCCAGCAGCATGGATGCCGTGTTAAGACTGTCGTAATGCAAGTGAAACCACACCTCCTGTACAAGGTACATATTTACTTTTATAAGTGGCCAGTAAGTACCTCTGAAACGTTGGTAAACTTTTACCAGATTACATGGTGCTGCAACCCGGAAGATAGGATCTTCACACTTTCCACCATGAGAATCTCAAAATCTCACTTGATTCACTACGCACCTTCACACATTAATTTTTGAAACTGTATTAGTCTTCCATCTATACCTAAGTTCCACAGTAGGTCATTTCTCTTGAGGTCCTGTGACGCTTTATGCATTTTCATTCCTTCTCGTGTGGTTATTACGGTAGAAAGTTGTTGCAGCCCCACTTAATGGTACCTGCACCTTGTCGTGGTGGTGGGGCTTCAGTTCCTCAGTGATCCCAAACCTATGCTGGCGGTAGCATAGCTACTGGTAGGGCCTCCCTAGCCAGATAGTCAAGGGGGAGAGGTCGGACTAAGACAGGTACCCTGGTCCTCCAGGTTGGGGGTTGGTTGCAAGGCTAACAACCTTGCACTGTAAAAAGGAGGATGTTTCAAAACCTCAATCAAAGCCTCGGACAGACGGACCTAACGGAGGAGAGGAGAATTGAGGAGGCCATGGACCGAATACGGACCGGAGAGCTATAGAAGAAGAAGTTGTTGCAGCCAAAATGTAAGAACATTGAACGGCATTGTTAAGCACAAAGAAAGTTTGTAGGTAAAGCTCCATGCCTTTGTAATCTCGCATCTAGATGCATCGGAGTGGATTTACTCAAAAGGAAGTGCTCTGGGTATACGATAAGACTAAGTGGACCCTACGACTGGTCTGGGTATGATAAAGAGTGATGTTCCTGTTTCTGCCAAGAATTGATACCCATTTATAGGTTCAATAATTTGTTGTACTGACTAAGCTGTCTCATTTAATTTTGTATCAGTAATGTTTCACGTCTTTACTTTGCTAGCCTGAGCTTCAAGTTGGAAATCTTGCCCCAGACCTGTTGGCAAACCACCGACTTCTTGACCGCATCGTGAACATTCGAGAATCTTACACAGTACCGCTGGGTCTCAAAGGCACTATAATAGGTAAGACAGAAATAGTATTCATTGTTACATCAAGGTTTGTGTCTAAAACATTAATAAATGAGTGAGTTTTTAGAATTTTTATCTTGTCTGTTGGAAACACTGATGAACCAGTGTACAAAATAGTCATATTATGTCAGTCCTTGTTAAAATCACCCTCTCAGAGCCTCATCATTTCATGAGGGCGTACAGATATTTGCTGACCTCATTCCTTCTCAGGTATCCACCGTACAGAGAATGAAGCAGAGCTCATGTATGATGTGTTGTTCGACAAGCCATTCCCAGGCGGTCTTCTGCTTAATTGTTCAACAAACCGTGGTTATCGGTTGTCTCAACTAGCTATATTGAATATCTCTCACGGCCAGCGTGTTGAACAGGTGAAGACTGTCGGCAAGCCAACTGCTGTCGTTCAACCATCTGGTAAGTTCTTGCATAGTGTAGCATAACCTAGCAGACTTGTATCATGTACCTGGTGGGGGCAGGGAGTTTTCTCATTGCCAGCATGTCCGCACTGGCTTTAGAACCTGCCCGGCCTCTTATTCAGTGGTTAACAGGGATTCTTTCCCTCGCTGAAAAGTGGCCTTCACCTTCATTTAGTGCCATGCTTAAGAATGTGTGTAGGTCTCCCCAGCGGTCTCTTCCCTTCAGGTTTCCCAACCAGTACCCGGTGCACCCCTCTTGTCCCATCCATGCGCGCTACATGTCCCGCCCATCTCATTCTTCTCGACTTAATCACCCTGACAATACTGGGGGAGCAGTACAGATTTTTAAGCTCGTCATTGTGCAGTTTTCTCCACGCCCCATCGTCTTCCCTCTTAGGCCCAAATATCCTCCTCAACACCCGATTCTCAAACACCTGCAATCTGTGTTCCTCCCTCTGAGTGAGAGACCATGTTTCGCACCCATACAAAACAACAGGCAAAATTATTGTTTTGTATACTTTAATTTTCAGGTTCTTAGAACTCAGACGGGAAGAATGTATGAAGCTGGACAAAACTTTTTTAATTATGCATTTTAATGTTTTCACCTCATATAGTTAAAAATGTATGTAGAATTGTTTTGAGGAAAAAATTGTAACTCATTAAGAATTAGAATTAAAAATATATATGGTTGCACTGCGGACAGTGGTCATGATCGCAACCTCCGTGACTTTTATATGAAATTAACGAACACAATCATTGTAATCCTCCAGATCATGCATTGTAATGTTACTGTGTTTTACAAAAATTTAAATGTTTTTTTGATTTTTAGTTTCTGCCATGAAGGTCACTGGCATAAGACAGAATAGGAAAATAAAAATTTTATTGTTCATTTAGTATGGTTCTAGCCAGGTTATTTCAGTGTTAAATTGTCTCCATTTAAGATTTTCCTCAGTTTAATATACGAGGGTCGCTCATTAAGTAATGCCCCACATTTTTTTTCTCAGCCAATAATGAAGATAAAAAAGTGCACTTTTACATGCTTGAGATTTGATGTTTCCCGCGTTCGTGTACGGAGTTTCAAATGATTCAAACCGATAGCGGAGCTGTAGTGAACTGTTAAAATGGCGTCTGTGAACGACTCTCGTTACAAGCAACGAGCTGTAATTGAATTCTTTTTTGCTGAAAAAGAAACTGTGGTGAACATTCATAAACGTTTGTGTGCTGTGTATGGAAGCTGTGCAGTCGATAGGAGCACCGTTGGTCGCTGGGCTAAGAGAGTTAAAGCTTCAGGAAGTGAAGAAACCGAGCTCCGTGATCTGCCGCGCTCTGGGCGTCCTGCCACAGCCACCACTCCAGACATGTTGAACCGCGCGGATGCCATTATTCGTGAGGATCGGCGCATCACAACTCGACAATTGGCCCAACAGCTTTCAGTCAGCAATGGAAGTGTGATTGCAATTATCCAGGCTCTCGCATATTCGAAGGTGTGCGCAAGATGGGTTCCACGAAGTCTCACAGCAGACCACAGGATTCAAAGGAAAACGATTTCTTCTGAATTGTTGGAGCGTTTTGATGCTGAGGGAGAGGTCTTTCTGTCCCGGATCATTACAGGTGACGAAACCTGGATACACCACTTTGAGCCAGAGACAAAAAGGCAGTCAATGGAGTGGCATCATCCTCAATCACCGAGAAAGAAGAAATTCAAGTCAACTCCCTCCGCCGGAAAAGTCATGATGACTGTCTTTTGGGACAGTGATGGGGTCATTCTTGTGGATGTGATGCCAAGAGGTGCGACCATCAATTCAGACGCGTACATCAGGACCCTGAAAACCCTCAAGAAGCGTTTTCGACGAGTTCGGCCTCACAAGCATCCAGCAGAAATTTTGCTCCTGCACGACAATGCACGCCCTCACACAAGTCTGAGAACCCGGGAAGAAATCACCAAATTGGGTTGGACGGTGCTGCCCCATCCACCCTCCGACTTTCATCTCTTTGGGCCACTTAAAGATGCTATCCGCGGAACAAGATTTGAAGATGACGAGAGCGTGATTCAAGCAGTGAGGACATGGCTACGTGCACAGGACAAGAGCTGGTACCGGCAAGGGATGCATGCACTTGTTCCACGCTGGCGTAAAACCGTACAAGTTGATGGGGACTATGTGGAAAAATAGTATGTGTAAAGGAAACATTGATTTATATTGTCACTAAATTTGAGCCATCTTGAATAAATATGTTCTGAGGAAAAAAATGTGGGGCATTACTTAATGAGCGACCCTCGTATGTTACCTAATGTCATATTTTGAATGGGAATCTCATTGTATGTGTTTCTTCTTGGGGTTCTATGCCTTCTTCCATTGTGTGTTGTGCAGGCAACACCGTGGTACAGGAAGATTTCATGTATGCCCCCTGGAACAAGCAACGCTCCATAGGGAGTGGCAACACTGCACAAGGCCATTCTGCATTTGCGAGCTGGAACAGCAGTCAGCCGGCTCAGAATGGAGTACCTTATGCAATGGCACCACATTCGTCTAATATTAGCACCACTCCGTTGTACAGAACCATCGGCAGTCGATGTGCCTCACAGCCGACGGGTGGTGGCAGTGTCCCACCTCAGCCAACCTTCTTGGTATGTGCGAGGGTTAATTAGTGGATAATTTGTGACTTCAGTATTAACTTAACCGTGATTTGATCAGGCTTCTTACTGTTATAAGAATGTATATTTTAATGAGCGCTGTTTTTACCCAACTATAAGACAATGACTTGTATCTTCATTAAAAATTGTCGGAACAATATGAGATTCAACTTTCATTATCGTTACTCTTTTATTGCCACTACAATTTATCCAGTGCATAACGATAAGCTTTGCAGCCTGTACTCGTCACCTGATATTGTGATCAAATCGAGGAGGATGAGGTTGGCGGACATGTGGCACGCATGGGGGAGTGGAGGGTGTTGATTAGGAGACCTGAAGGGAGGAGACTGCTTGGAAGACGTAGGCATACATGGGAGGATAACATAAAGATGGACCTTAGCTCAGGATAGAGTCCGGTGGTGGGATTTTGTGAACAAGGTGACGAATTTTTGGGTTCCATAAAGAAAGTGGGCTGTTCTTTGACAAGCTGAGTGTTCAATAGATGTTTCGAAGAATTTCCAGTGCCATAGAATGAGTGAGTAAGAGTGGATGTACTCATACAATATATTTGTTATGTGCTTGTTCTTGTTTCAGGTTGGTAGTAAGCAACAACAGAACACGTCATCTTCCAAAATACTAAAACAGCAGAACTATAGCAGTCCAGTGGCCAAAGTCTATGGTTCAGCTCCCAGCAAAGTCACGTCCCAACCCCCAGAATTCCAAGATATTTGGAAACAACTAGAGGCGAGAATTATGACATTAAAGCAGAGTTGTGTTTCGTTACGAAAGTGCGATCCATGACCTGCTGTTGCTCCATATGGTTCTGTGTTTAATGATACTGTTAATAGTTTGGGTTATATACTACTAAGTGGTAGATGATTTATGAATATGGACTTGATAGTAAGACATCTGTGTCGAAGTCTCCCTTCTATATTTTTCTTTTCTCTTTCTTCATTGGACATTCAGCTGTTCAAAAATTTCCAGGAAAGTTTCTGTTGACTGCACAGACACTCCCATAGCACTGGTACCTTTACTTGTCTGTTGCATTCATTCACTGTAAAGGCTTTAAGTCATAAAGTAATTCTCTCTTATCTCTCCGCAGAAAACTACTGCACCTTTACAGAAAAGCGCCGTGTCTTCACAGAAGCCTAGCCAAGCATCGCCACAGCAACAGAAACAGTTGGTACCGACTTCTGAGGTAAGTTTCAAGGAAGTGGTGCTCACATGCATATCCAAAGAGCGTTGGAAGCTTTTATAGCTTTTTAATGACAACATTACATTCATGTATGCATGTTTATATTATGGATTTATTTGGCTTGAAGGATAATTTTCTTCTTAACAGCTTTTAGCTTTTGTTAACTTTGCAGACAAGTAGTTTTAGGGATAAGACAAAAGTGGAATTTTCATTTTCATCTGTTGGCAACACTGATAGGTCATTTTATTTGAAAATCAAATTAATGTTCTCCTGTACAAAATTTTGTAAATGTTTATCTATGGCAGCGATGCACAACCGGTGTTCCTCTACACTGGGTTAGATTGTTAGGTTAATGTCGGTAGGATTACATTAGCTGAGGCAGGGTTTGGTTAGGTTGCGTCAGCTTTAGTCGGATTAGGTTAGGTTATATTGCGTTGGTAGATGTTGGGTTTGGTTGTTTCCATTAACTGGTATCCACACATCTTTCCTTGGTGCCCTGATAGTTCTAGTCACTACGATCAGTGTCCACGACATCGAATTTTGTTGTAATCCTGATGCTTATCTCTTATTTCCGCAACTTTTGTTGTTGTGAAGCTTGGCGTCTCTTTGCTAGAACCATGTCGTATAGGTTCCCAAGTCTCCTCATCGCTTCAGTTACATTTCGAGGTCAGCGTCCCTTCTTAAACTTCATCTTCAAAAGCACCTCTAGGCTCGCGTACGCTAAATATAACGTCTTTAGGCGTCGTCCCGATTATGAAAGTTGCGACTAACGGCGTCGGTTTTGTACCTTCCATAGGCACGCGGAGCCTCGTCTGCGGTAAAATAGGCGTCATGCTGGCGTTGCATCCAAAGGCTAGAAACCTTGAGATGCAGGCTTCAATTTTCTAGTTTCCTTTCAACGTCATGTGGTGACTTATCTGTGGTTATCTGGCGTTATCTCAAGATGTCACATTATTAGGCAGGCATCGACTTTCTGGCATGGCTCCCAATTATGCCTCAAATGCTTTGGTCACATTTCTCGACCCCTGACGTCACGAGGCCATCAGATGACACAGAATTTCTAGCAGATGAGTGTCCGTAAGACGCTGAACACTCAAGTAGAAAACCGCCGCCGAGCGTCGCAACGCCATCAAAGGGCGTTTGAAAAGAGGGAAACCCTTTGTGTAACGTTTGGCACGATGCTAGGAAATCGACGCCAAGCGCTGCGACGCTTTCGAAGGACGACACATTACCGAAGACAACGCTTCCGGTCTAAACTAACCCAATGGGCTCCCCTAACCCAACCTACCATAACCTAACATAACCTAACCTAACTAACGAAACCTACGTCACTGACATTTCTCTTTTACTCTCTTCTTTCTCCTATCCTAACTTCTCTTGGCCTCTCTTATCCAATCCTAAGGTCTGCTTTCCTTCTTTCTCTTCTCTTCTTCTATACCCACGTCTCTTCTCTTGGTTCTACGTTTCACCTCTCCTCTCACCACCACTCCTCTCTTCAATTCTTTTTCCTCTTCATCTCTTATTTTGTCTTCAGTATTCTTCTCTCTTCAGTTCTCTTTTCTCATTTCTTCTCACTTATCTTCATTTCTTCCTTCTTCTCCACTCCTCTCACTTTTTCTCTCAAAACTTTTCATCTCTTCCTTCTCTTACCCTCTCTTCTTTTTTCCCACCTCCTCCTCTGTTTTCTTATCCTTTTCTCTATTCTCTCATCTCCTTTCTTCTGTTAAATGAGGCCTACTCTTGCAAAGTGGTTCCCATGTTACTCAACAACATTCTTTAACAAAATCAGTCATTAGTGAAGTATTTAGTGCTGTGTTTGTTTGAATAGTCTCTCAGTATCAGGTTTAATTTACGTTGTTACGAGTCACATACTTTCCTCAAATCATTCATCTGTTAGATGTGTCCTAGATCCTGATTTGACGTTGTCTTAAAATTGCTCAGAAGATAGAAACAGGAGAGCAGTCTTTCCATGACAAACTCTAAATAAGATACAAGTTTGGAGTTCGGGGTCACATGTAGGGAGAAGTTGAGTATTGTTTGAAAATCTGTATGTTCATGCATGTATAGTTAATTGATCGTGGTAGGTGCACAAAAGAACATCACACAGTCTGGTAGTCTGTAGCTGTGGAATTGTACTCGTACTGGAGTGACAGCATAGGTGGAATTATTTTCTGGGTTTTAGATTGGGGAGGACACTGGTACCAAGCTTCTAAAGGAAATGTTGCAAATTAATGATGACGCAGCTTCACCAGTCTTTCTGAGCAGTTCCTCACAGCAAGTGCAACTGCTACGTCGACACGTTTCCATCGAAGAAATGTTTGAGGTGAGGCATTAAAGTTTTCACCTTCACTTTAAAAAATGTCATCTCTTATATCTTAATATTTTGCCCTATGTTCTCACTCATTTGAGTTTATTGAGAGCAATTACTTTGTGTAATCTGTAAGCTTTACCACAGCTGGGGAAAAAATTACTGTTTTACAAGAAGCCTTTCTTTTGTTTCTTATTCCCTTTTATAAACTAAGAGTCTTGTGTAAGATTTGAGGTTTTCACAACCCAGAAGACAGAAATCTTTAAGAGGCTAATGTTTGAAGATGAAGGCTCTTTTCCTTCTGGAATTTAACTCTTACGCTATGGGAATAGGGGATTTACGCGCCAAGTACTACAGGGTGTTTGGCTGGACTGTGAGTCTGGTGTTAATACTTTAGAGGCTATTGTAATGCATGCAAGATGTGACACTTGGTTGATAAAGGTTAATGGGTGAATTGGTTGAATGGTGTCGTAACTCCCCTTTTCCATTCCATCATTTCTTCCCTCTTACTGTATTGACATATCTCAGGCTTGCACATATTTTTTTGCACAGTACAAATTATTTATCGTGATTTCAATGCACTTTGTTGGTTATAATATACAGTAGATTCCGGTTAATTGGGCCATCGGTTAATCGGGGCAGCCGTTTATTTGGGACAAATCTTAAAGAACAAACCTTTTTAAATCTTTATGTGGAAGTTCGCTTAATTGGGCCAAAATGTTCTGGTCCCGATGTGTCCCAGTTAACCAGAATACACTGTAATTGAGACATATTGACAGAATAAAATCAGAATGCTGATAGATGAAATTGGAAAGACCATGTGCTTCACTGTGTAGAAGAAATTTTCTTTGTTACCTTATCATTTACTATGTGTACTATTTTTTTACCTTGATCGTGTTCAAGTTTCTAAAGTTTTAAAGCAGGTAGCACATATAGTTACCACTGGGTTTTGAACTGTTAAGGTTACTCCCAGCACTGATCTGTAAAATCTCACATGTGAACTTTTTGTTCTAATTTTATTCTTTCTTGTAACTCATCGTTAAGCTTGGTCTGGATATAATTATGATATAGACTTAAGAGTATGTCTTCTTATTTAGGTTTTGACTGGATTCGGTAAAGGTTGACATCTATGTATTGTATCAATGACACATTAATTATGAGGGCTGTGTCGTTTGAATCGGATGGCTATGAAGGAAAGAGTATATGAAGATGGGCCTTGATTTTAAAATTAATTACATCAGAGGTGATTTATTACTCGTGTTCATTTTTTGTGATCTAGCGTGTGCGAGTAGCTGGGTCTGGCATCTCCAAGGATAATACATCCAGCTACTGTGCTCAGCTTATCAGCATTTTTCAGCGAAAGGGTAAGGCATTCCATTACCTCTTTTTTGCAAAGCAAAAATTTGTTTAATTGAAATTTTATATTATTTTAAGAACATCTAAAGATATGGAAATTTGAGGTTCTCATGGCAGTGAAGATGTCGCTGTTGGTCTTCAGGTTACTAATGCTGTGCAGACTCATAGGTAGATTTAAACATTTCATAGCAACATACTGCCTTCATCTGCAGGGTAGAAGATTGAGACAGAATTATGAATTCTGTCAGAAACAATTCATCATAAAAAAAATTTCTGCATAACAAAATACTGGTAAAAATAATTTTCTTCTTTGTCAGAGTGATATCTACAGTGTATTAAGCTTTGTGCCTCATGTAAATTAATAGTAATGCAGAGTTGAAAAGAATATGATTTGAGTATTGTTTTAGCTTTTTTCCCCGCAAACCTTGCAGCATTACGTTTGGAGCAAAGTGGTTTATTTCATGCTTGCTTCTGCAGTGCTTTGTGCGTGTTGGTGTTGCAGGGTATGGTATCCCCCGGTATAATTACTTGGACAACAAAGAGGATGGGTCTGTCCAAGCTCAGGTTATGCTCCCAGACATGCGGGCTTTCTTCGGAGACATCAGTAGCACACGAGAGCAGGTGAGTGTACCATTAAGAGGAATTATTTACCTTTCACCAAGTTCAGAGAGAGTTTTGGACTCATGGTTCCTTTCATCTTGATAAACAGTATAATATTATCAGACATTGCTTCTAATCATTTTATTAGGTCACTAAATTGAATTCCTTGACTACCATCTATCACTTCTTACGGTTTTTGCCCTCTGTGCTAGAAGAATGACTCAGCTGTACATCTTAATGTATTTTCGAGGTGTGTAGTATGAGTGTCATTCTTGTATATGCCATTGCTGGATTTTTCAGTGAAGTGTCAGCCACTGATCAGCTGCTGTGCAGAGATGAATCTGGCCTCATGCCCAGAAAAGGTTGAGAACCCCTTTCTTCATCTCACAGACCTTTTCTAGGCCAGGTCTTACCTCCATACATTATTTCCATCCACTTTGGTCAAGAAATTTGCCATCTTTTATGTACTTAAAAACTTCATTAGTATGTTACCACAAGAGCTCGCCACTTTACGCTATCCTGAGCCATTTGAATCCAGGCCAAATCGTAACGCCCTGTTTCTTTAAGATTTGTTTTATTATTACCCTCTCATGTACATTTAGGCTGTGTCTACAAATACATGTATGAAATATCTTGTGTTCTGGCAGGCTTCGGAGAGCGCAGCTAAGATTGCTCTTTCTCAGTTGTTGCTGGAAACAGAGCATCAGGAACATACCCCAGCATCGGGGGTGGGGAAGCCTGGTACCAATACCCTGCCCATCCCTCCACCGCAGTGGTGCCAACATCGGCAACAGCAGCCACCTCTCTCCACTCAGACATTCCATCCCAAGCAGCACAACCGCCAAGGTACAGCCTCGTTTGAAATAACATTGATTTAACCTATGAATTTATAGACTGATATCTCTTTTCCTTGTGTGTACTTCTCAGTTTGGGGAAAAGAGAAAAGGAATTGAATATAACTTTGGTATGTAAAGCAGGTGGTTTAACTAGTTGAATGTTGTGCTTGGTCAAATATTCCATTACCAAGTGAGCCTTGAAGTTTCATATTGCATATACATTTTTGTAGCTGTTATTTTCAACCTCTTAGATATTTTACCCCCGTATGAGTGGCTGCCTCTCGTTACAAATTTTGTCACTAAAAACCAGATGATTCCTTTCTATCAAAATCTTTGCTGTTGTGATAAACTGGTATCTCAGGTTAAATATGTTTGTCTACTGTAGTTTGTTGTTTTTATATTCCACTGCATTTTACATTTCAATGTCTCCAGATTCTGTACCAGATTGGCGGCACGGACCCGGTCCAGAGATGATACCCACCGGCGGCCCTCCAGGAGGTAGAAGGCCATTCACCTGGCAGCACCAACAGAAACTGCCACCACCACCACCACCATTCATGTATGCATCATACCAGGTCCAGCAGCAGGTCAGCATTTCTCATAACCCTTAAATACTACTGTATATTAGTTCTTTGATTTCCAATATTAAAATGGGATGTTGACTGGATTTCTTGTCTCAGGATAGGGACTTCTGGTCGGCTTGTGTGTGAACACGGTAATGAACTTTCAGTTTCCATAACAGGCAGATATCTTGACTAGTTGAGTACTATCAGTTTCTCAAGGTCTCTGCTTCGCAGTGTTGGCTACTTGGTTTGTTGTACAGGAAAAGGGGATTTAAACCCCTGTACTGAACGCTGGCCTTGTAATCCTGGGGTCTCGGGTTCGATTCCCGGCGGTGCCCGAATTTATAACTTGTGTTGGGCAAGGCCGTGGTCTAGGCAACACGGACTTTTCCTCCGGGGGCTTCCCCGGTTTCTCCGTGGCATCCCAACAATTACTCCATTCACACACAGAAGAAGGCAATGGCAAACCACTTCTGGATCATCTGCCAAGAACGTATATGAACAGGTCCCAGTCCGAGAAAAGGATGGAAGGATCCTGTTCTTATGGACCTGTCGTCAGACAGAACACTAAATAAATAATAAATAAACTGTAGAATTAATGGTTCAGTAGTATGGTGGAATGGCACATGGGCACTTGGAATGCACATCAGCCTTGATATAGCATTACCAAAGGTTAATAGCATACAGAGACAGTGTAATAGTATTCCATCAAGTTACCAGTCTATTTATTTTATTTGTCCTTCCATTAGTAATATCAACATTGGTCATGTGAACTTTTAGCTGGCACCACTGCTTGCAAGCCAGTAGAAAATCTTTAAACTGTATGTGGTGGTATTACAGATTTGAAAAATATGCAAGTTTTTGTTATGTTAATTATTTTTTGCAATGTGAAACAGCATTGTGGCCACGTGAAATCTTCTTTGTCTTTCGGTTTGGTAGTGATAACTAATGAACCATTTTTGCTGAGCATCTTTAATTTTGTATGGAGATAGATCATATACATACTTACAGACTCTTGAGTAAAATCTTTCATTGTAGATGTGATTACAAATGTGGTAATAGTCTGAATATTTGATATAATTATGGCAAATTTAACATAATCAGACTCCTTAATAGTGGAAATTAAATACTTCTTCTTCCTTGGCTCTCCGGTCCGTATTCAGTCCACGGCCTCCTCAATTCTCCCCTTCCATTCGGTCCTCTGTTAGGTCCGTCTGTCCGAGGCTTTGATTGAGGTTTCGAGACATCTTCCTTTTTACGGTGCAAGGTTGTTAGCCTTGCGACCAACTCCCAACCTGGAGGACCAGGGTACCTGTCTTAGTCAGACCTCTCCCCCTCAACCAATCTGGCTAGGGAGGCCCTACCAGTAGCTCTTGGGGTCACTGAGGTACTCAAGCCCCACCACCACGACAAGGTGCAGGTACCATTAAGTGGGGGGAAATTAAATACAGAAATATATAATTATTATTTATCATTCTTGTTAGCCACCCATTATAGAGTAAAGAAAAGTGGGTATAATAAGTTTTTCTCAGGTATTTTTAAAGACTGAATCAGAGTTAATTCTGAAATGGATCTGTAATATTACATTCTCATCATGCAGCCACATTGGCGTGGGAGTGGAGTGGCTAGCAGTTCTACCAACTGGAGACAGCTTCCCAGAGACTCACGGCAACAAGAGGTATCAGCCTTTAACAGTTTTTTAAAGCCAATATTATGCTATAATTGTCATATTATCATCATTTCCACACAGCACTATCCAATGTATTCAGACAGGTATGAGGACTTGCGGCTTAGTTATTATCATATGTGACTTGAATGTTGACTCCTTCAGGAAAATTGTGCTTATGCCTCGATCATATAAACAGATGTTTCAAATTCATTTTACCAGCTCACAGAACTAAGTAATTGTAAGTGGATGGCCACATTTGCCAAGCTGTACCTACAAACACTATGCCCCACTTTTATAGTTGTGTGTGGCACAAGTTATCTGTGAAGAAAGCCACAGTACTAAATGTGAGTAGTTGAATCATATTTTAACCAGCACACTTTTGTGCCACATGGCAGCCCTGGCTTGGCAGCAATACATATATCAGGAGACAAGTGCCATTCGAAGAGCCACAGCAACAGTTTATCCCACTGCAGGCTGTAAAGCAGCAGAGAAATAAGATCCCGGGGGCACTGCCCCAGCAGCAAATTAGCAGGAAGTGGCCCGAACAACAACAACGACAGCCACCTACAGAACAGAACCAGCTAGTGCCTGTAGAGCCCATTGTTACCAACAAGGTAATATCACATACATTGCTCATAAAATCAGTATCTGATCTGACTCACATTTAGATGGTACCTGGTTGAAATTATAGCTAGGACTGACAATTCTGATCAAGGTTTTATTGTTTTTCCTCGAGCATCTGTAGGAAATGTAAGATTACTACCTTGAAATATGCTACGATCTGAATCTCTCCCTGTTTATCATCATAACTAACCTTCCATGTATCATTCTACCGGGTAGTCCTCTCAATCTTCTTCTTATTGCACCATCTCCGAACGAATGTTGGCGATCCACATGGCGAATATTGTCCTCGAGACTGCCGCTCGAAAGATGTCTATTGAGGTCTATTGAGGTCCATCCGAACCATCTTCTTAAGTCTTTCATCAGGAGTTTTGGGGTCTACCAACAGATCTTTTTCCTTGGATTTTGCCCTCGATGATCAGTCTTAAGATCTCATAATGTACTCCTCTCATGATATGGCCCAAATACCGGACCTTTCTTTCCTTAACGGCAAGCAGTAGTTCCGTTTGCTTATTCATGCAATTGAGAACTTCGATGTTAGAGACTTTTTGCACCCAGGGTATTTGTAGTATACGTCGATATAAATACATTTTGAATGCTTCGATTCTTTTCTCCATGGGAGAATCAAGAGTCCAGCTCTCGCATCCATAGAGAAATGTAGAAAACACATAACATCTCAGCATTCGAATCCTCAGTTCTAGACTCTCAATAGAAGCTCCAATACTTTCAACAGTTGTATGTGTTGATGGTGTTTACATACCTCAGCCTAAGCCCCAGCTATGTCCTTCCATCCTTCCTTTCTCACTTCCTCCCCCCCCATCTCAGTTGATTACATGTCGTACATTACCTCCAAATTTTATAAAGCATCCTTTAGCATTCTGCGTAGTGGATAACGTCGAAATTGTCGGTTATGTATTTCACAGATAAAGATTTGAATGACAGTCACAGCCTGTTTCCAGTTTCTTACTTGTCATTTCCTCTAGCAAGACTGAGAAAAAACATGGAAAACCTGAGTCATGATCGCCAGTACCCCAGTGAAGTTTTCTACTAGATACCTCTCATCACAAGTCTAAATGTTACAGCTATACCAATCTCCTTGGTTGTATACTACTAATCTTCCTTCTTCTTGTAGCGTTATAACCCTACATGGGTCTTGGCTTGTTCAATGAGTTTTTTCCATTCTGCATACTACAAATACTGAAGGTTACAATTAGATACAATCTTCGTGGTCTGTGATAATACCACTTTGAAATTCTGTTAGAGTTCTGAAAACATATTGCTGAATTTTTTTGTATTCCAGGAGAATCCTGTGCTCAGCCGACCAAACAGTGTCGCATCCAAGCCTCTGGTTAGCCACTGTAGGAAGTCTCGTCTGGCTGCCAACTTTAGCACACGTATTTCTGATTAGTCATGAATGTAGTGACATCTTGGTGAAGAGAGGGCTACTACTGCACCAGAATCCTGTATGGAAAGTGGATACCATGAAATTGTGTTACAGAAGTACTCTGCATGTCTGAATGTGATCATAGCAGAACAGCTGTTTGTAATCATATCCATTTCTCCCTGACCCCTCCACCCAGTGGAATGTAATCATTTTATTAACTGATCAATGTAACAAACACAGGTGTTTCACCTGTTTCCATTTTATTATAGTCTATTCCGTCAAGAGTTTTGACATTTGATTTTACCTATAGCAATAAAATATTTGTTTGTAATGTATGCCTCCAGGTGTGGTCTGCATAGACTTTCCTGCTCTCCTTATACCAAGAGAAGGACGTAGAACGTTCCTGAGGTGGGAGCTGCCATTGGGTAGATTCAATTTTGTTCAGTGATAGGGTGAAGATAAGGATGATAATCAGCAGAGGTGACATAAAGCTTAATACGGGTGTGAATCACAATTGGGCCCAGGAATTCTTTGCAGTCACAAAGTTTTATCTTTGGAAGAGCTAAAGGCTTCAGTCTCTTGAGTAGAAAAATCCACACTTAGGTATGATTGGGGATTGAACCGAGAACCCTCGGAATGAGAGTCCGTAGACCACCACGTTCCATTAGTAATAAGCCGTGACAGTCCATTTTGCTAATAGTGTTCCTTGTGGAGTATTCCGTTAGTTTTAAACCTTCAGTGTTGCCCAATATTCATGCCAGTCACACTTATTCATATGGCATTGTTCAACAGTGGAATTCATTTGTAAATTTTTTGCGTTTCACTTACACATTGTGGTAAAATATGTTCAAAAAATGAAATTGGTGTAGATTGTATTTAAAACTGACATTTTCTAAAATTAATTTAGACATTAATTACTGCTCTGTCCATAATGAGACTTCTAATTTTTGCTGTAAGGATAATGTGCTTGAGTTTCCTTCTTGCAACACTGACTCACTTGCTGATGCCTGGTGTGATGTTAATTTGATAGTTGATCCTTATCAGACAAATTCACCTTTTTTCCACTTTTGATGTTGGTCTTGTCCAGGTCTGAGGTTAGCACAACCGGGTGTCTAACAGATAGGCTTTATACCATCTTTCTCCCTTTCTGATTTGAAGACAGGAGCAGCATCCAGCTATTGAAATGTTGTTTTATTATTTTACATTTTAGATGATGGACGAAATCCAAGAGAGCAACTTTGCATTTCTTAGTGCACCATTATGAGAAATATTCAGACTATGACATTATTTTAAACTTTGTTTCATATTATTCACGTCATTCCCAGTAAACATGTACACAATAGAAGTGCAATTTTACGAACTATAAGTAGATTTTGTTGACTTGGAAACATGTACACAATAGAAGTGCAATTTTACAAACTATAATTAGATTTTGTTGACTTGGAACTGATCTGTTGTAGGAAATAAATTACAATAAATCTTGTAGTTCAATAGAGCTAATTGCCTGAGAGAGGTCTAAAATGTACAGTCTTGAAGAGTTAATTTTGATGTTGATGTCTCATTGAGATGTTTTTGAGCATCTCAGTGTCTGTTCTCTTAGGGCACAATGTAACAGGTAAAGTTATAGTACAGTAATTGTGTTTGAATATGTATAAACCTGATGGTCTTTAAAACAAGATAGGCTTACATTGTGTTAGTAGGCCTATCTAAATATGTTTTGTGACAAAGCATAGTATTACATGTGGGTACCAACATTTCAGAGCAACATAATCACTTCTATCTCGGTCCTGAAGGTGGGTGGGATACAATGGACAATTTACGTGTAAATTTATACCCAATTGCCCCCAACAATAATTTAGTATTCTGTGTATTTTTACAGTTATTTTGGTCGCATCTGACATTTGTAATTGGCAAAGGCCAGTTTCACAACCCAGAACCCACCTTCCTATAGAACATGCAAAAGGTTTGAAGCTTACACGGCGGAAATATTTCGTTCGAGTATTTCTATAGAAGAAAAAAATATTTCTCTTGGCGAAACGGGGAGCCATGCTACTGCCGCCGCTGCCGCCATCTACCAGATAATTGCTAGAGTTACGAAGGAAATCGGACAAAGCAGGGTGGCCATTTAGGTGTAGTCACCATATATTACTACCATTATAATATAATCTGTGTGAGGAACGACGAGGAAAGATGGAGTCTTGATGTTTTTCTTTGTGTTGTTTAAATGTACGGAAAAGCAGTGTAAATTATAAGGCGTAACAAAGGTCACTAAGAAAAAGAATGGAAGTTGGAATGATGCAGTATCCACCGGGTGACTCCCGAATGATCGACAAAATTGTTCATCAACTTAAATCTCAAGGAATTTTTGATCAATTTCGAAAGGAGTGTCTAGCAGATGTAGACACAAAGGTAAGTTTGTGATATATAATAATTGTAATTAATTACTGTGATTAATTTTAGTAGGCTATTTCTCGAATTATATTACACCGTATTTTGATGCCCCATTTGTGGTTGTTATAACCTTTTGTGGAGGAAACAATTTTTATACACAATAAGAACTGTATTCCAATCAACCTGTTACGAAGATGTGCAGTACCATTCATATCTCAGAGCGACATGTTTCGTCCTGTAGAAATGGTCATCTTCAATCTCTTACTGTTCGAGCACATGATATATAATGAAACTGTGTGTCGTATTTTAATGCTTTTTGTCAGATATTTCTCTTCTAGCACAATGACGACTTCATGTTATTGTTACTGTGTTGTTACAGTATTAAAGACATTAGAAATTGCGGTACAAAGTTTATATCCCATTATTGTAAAATACTGCCCCAGAGTACCAGTGGTAATAATCAGTAAATTGGACACCATGGTTAAAGATAAGGACAGACTGGCCATGTCGATGAGTTACAGCTGACTAGAAACCTAACCTCCTTAGTCTCATGATGGGAACATTCCCTTCCAAAAGAAAAACTTAATAGTATGGGGTAAAAACATACAAAGAGTTAGGGTAGGAATTGAAGACAAAATTACAGAACAAGTTTCTAATTTTTACTGTCTGGAAAATCTAGTATCAAACAAGGAAAAATACATAAATGTAAAATTATAAAGCTACAACAAAATGAATGGAACGGTTAAACAGCATTTTGAAAAATTTATGGCAACAGACACAAAATTACAATTAAATATCACTTCTAAAGTGGCTTTGTGCCATGGCAGCGAAATGTGGACTAAAAACTAAAGAGTTGCCCAGAAAACTGGAAGCAGCACAAATGTGATTCATAAGACCATTATTAGACATTAGAATACTGGACCATCAAAGAAACTCTTGACATCTGCAATAGATTAAAAGTGAGCAACATATTAGGAGACAAGAAATTGTATCAGGAAAACTGTCTAATCATGCTTGTGCACATCATTTGATACATCCAAAATTTCTGCTTGTTTATTAATTTTGACCCTGGAATTCCTTCTGGGTTTATTATGAATAATAGTGTCTTACTACAGACTAGATGACCGGGGTTCAATCTCTGACAGGGGCAAAGGCTTTTTTATCTAGCCTCTGTGTTCAAACTTTCTCTGGGACCTACCCTGCCTTTTATCCGGTTGGTATCAGGGGTCCTTTCCCTTGGGGTAAAGTGCAGTTTTGATCTGATCCTGACCACTCACCCCATCTAATGCCAAGTTCAAGAATATGTAGGAGCTATATCTCCTGTCACCCCAAGCGACTGCATGGTGTATAGGAGGACAGCTTTACTTTTTATAGTATTACAAAATAACCAAATGAACATACTGTTCCTGTTTTGATAATGATCGATATGGAACATCAATGATATTTTATTATCTTAATTATAAGAAATTTTAAATATTGTGATAAGACGGATTAAAATAAATAATTGTTAGAATATTCACAATATGACGCAATTACACTATCTTTTGTTCTCTGTATTTATCAGCCTGCATATCAGAATCTACACCAGAGGGTTGAAGGAAGTGTGTCTGGGTTTTTGGCCAGCCAGGTCTGGCGGCCAGACTTGAACAAGAACCAGTTGCGTGACAGCCTGAGAAAGTACATTCATGAGTAAGTAATTTTGTGAGATGAAAGTTTGTGCAAAAGATCAGTGGTGATTAGTGGGATTTAACTCATATATATATATATAAAGAGGTCAGCTCTGTTCAAAGATCCAGGTACTGTACAGGACCAAGGACCTACAGAGAGTCCTTGATTATGGCCATCATTAAAGGATGTTTTCTGACAAAGTCCCCCTTCGGGAGCTGACACCATCAGCTAACCCAGGGAAGCTGAAGACAACTATTCCGATTTTGTCACTTGGGTAACCGCCATACGAAAAGAAGTGATTATTACGGGATCCTACTATTTTAGGGTCTGTGTTTCATGGGAGGCATGGGCCTGCTACCATATCAAAGGGAAAATGGTTGCAGTGCAAGGAAATGTAAAATTGTCTGTGGTGCTTAATTAAACACCATGCCACACGTGTGGAGGAGGGGATGTAGCTCCACATATCTTAACCTTGGCGCTAGATGGAGGTAAATGGTTAACTTCATGCCCCAGCTGTTTTACCTCCATTACCCATGGAATGAGAGACTGGCTGAACCCCATAACTGGTATGAAAATGTGCAGATGGTAGTACTGTAACATGAAGCCCACCTCCTTCTAGTGTCAAGGTTAAGAATGCGTGGGGCTGTACCTCCGCTTTCCCTTTTTGTTTGCATGGCACGTTCTTTAGTTACGCGCCAAGGACAGGTTTTGTGTTACCAGTGAATAACTGCAACTTTATAACATCGCACGCAGGTGAGTAAAACATGGATGGTTGGATTTTAACCAGCTTGGCACTAACGTTTTCATTTCATCATACAGATCTGGTTTCTTGGATATTGGTGTGGAGAGGATCGTTGACCAGGTTGTCAACCCGAAGATCTTAACTGTCTTCATGCCACAAGTAGAAGATGTTGTTTACAAATACCTGGGCATTGAAAAGCCAAAAAAGGGGAAAGAGAACCAAACTGGTATGACCTTTTCCTGCGTTTTGTACAGTTGCGTACGGATATGTTGCTTTGTGATGGCCTTAGGGGGGGAGGGGGGGACATAAGGGCTGGACTTTATCTAGTAATAAAATTGCTGATCCTTGTAAGGTTACTGTAACTTAGTTTTGGTGTCGTTTGTTGGACATGAACTAACCCATCTCTGAAAATATTTGGAGGTGAATGAGGTTCTTTTTTTTGCAATTAAGAAGGGTTGTTATCATGAGTGGTAATTCAGTAATCTTAATTCTTTGGTTTGCTCACTTAGTTTTTTTGCCCACATCTCAGAAATCGCAGCTACAACCCGTTTAATTAAAAAATGTTCACATTTCAAGTATATTCGTCTGTTTGTTTGGACGCTTGTTCTAATTATGTGGGATATAAATTTAAACATAGAAAGCATGATGTGAATGTGCTCTCACCATGTTGCGTGTATCTCTTACAGTGTATGTGGCATCATTAACTGCAGAGAATATTGCGCAGAAGGAGGAGAAGAAATTGCCTACACTTACAGATTTATTACCAAAGGAATTGGAACCTATTTCTCCAGAGAGTGACACGTTAAAAGAAAAGGATGATTCGGACGAAGATGAAGAAGTTGGATTTCCTGATGGAAGGGAAGAAGAAGATTCATCACCCCCGTTTGAACCCATAGAAAAAGTTAACTCACATTTAGAAGAGAGTTCAGTAGACAGTCATCTGTCAGGTATATCAGAACTGACAAGTCATGAGAGTCAGCATTCGCATGTCTCATTCATGATTTCAAATCATGCAAATAATAACAGTTCTATAAAAATGCCCGCTTCGGATCTGTCAAACCATGACAGCCAGCTTTCAAAAGTGTCGTCCGGTAGTAGATTGTCTATTGTTTCATTTTATGACCAAGACTGTAGACTGACGTACAATACTGAAATAAATGACGACAGCGAGCAGTCGAAAACTTCGCTTCCAGTTTCTGGTCAAGATACGCGGATGTCTATGAGTATTGGATTCACTGATGACGAAAATGAAATGAAAGATATGGACGTTCAAGTCACTGGTGATATCTCCTATGAAGAATCAAGTATTTATGCCAACAAATTGCAGATATCTGCTCAGAATAGTTCCCACAGCATATCAGATGGTATTATAACCAATGAAAATCTCAGACCTGAAACAGATCAAGAAGAAAGCAGTCAGGATGAAAGATCACAGACAAAAATAGATTATGTTTTTGAAATGATGTGTGAAGATACACCTGAGGAAAAAATTGTTGAAGAATATGAACCTGAAAATTATATATCTGAATATGAATACAACGAAAATGAAGATAACATCATGGTGGATGAATTTGAAAGTAAACGTGATGTTGGTAACCAGATGATGATAAATGAGGAATTTGAAGAAATGTGTGAGGAAGAGATAGATGAAAAATCTGATGAGCTGATAGAAGAAAAATCTGAAGAAATGACTGATGAAAAATTGGATAAAAAGACAGAAGTCCAGGTTGAGTTTAAATTTGAAGAAATGTCTGTAAAGAAAGAAAGTGAGAAATCTGAAATAATTGCTGAGGAGAAGCAAGAAAGGAAAGTAGAAGAGAAATATGAAATGAGGCAAGATGAGGATCTTGAGAAAGAATTGGATGACAAATCTGAAAGAAGACTGGAAGAAAGGTTAGAAAATAAATTGGAAGAAAAATCTGAAAGGAAGTTGGATGATAAGTTTGACAGAAAATTATATGAAAAGTCTACAAGGAAATTGGATGAGAAGCCTGAAAGGAAAACAAATGACAAGCTTGAGAGGAAACTGGATGAGAAGTCTGAGCGTAAATTAGACGATAAGTCTGATGAGAAGTCTGAAAGGAAATATGTTGAAGGCTTGGAACATAAATTAGATGAGAGGGATGAAAGAAAATCAGATGAAATTTCTGAAAAGAAATCAGATGAGAAACTTATAAGGAAATTAGATGAAAGATCTGTGAGGAAAACAGACGAGAAGTCTGAAAAAAAGTTAGTTGATAAGTCAGAGAAGAAATTAGACATTAAACTGGAGAAGAAAACAGATGATAAATCTGAAAGGAAATCAGATCTGAGATGTGAGAAGAAAGTAGATGACAAGCATGATAAGAAACAGGACAAACATAGAGAGGACAGAGATAAATCTAGAGAAAAGAAAGATGAAAAGAAGCGGTTGAACAGCGACAGTAAAGATGTGAAGAAGAATGACCCGTGTGGGCACTTACCAGATGTAGACAGAAAGAGAAGTGACAAGGACAAGCACAAGAGAGACAGAGGTGACAGTCGCAGCAAAGCACAGAAGTCAAGCAAAGATGGGAAAGAGAAAACTGAGAAGGATGGCATTAAAGAAAAAGTTCAGCATGAAGAAAAAGCTGACAGAGACATCGTGAAGGAAAAATTCAAACAAGGAATAAGGGAGACTAAAGATGAAAAGAGGAGTGATGAAAGGGAGAAGAAAATAGAGAAGGATTCCAGTAAGGAAAAATCTAAGAAAGAAGATTGTGATGTCTTGAGGCATGAGAAAGATACCAAGAAATCAAAGAGTGATGAGAAGAGAGAACAAGATGGGAAGGAAAAACCAAAGGCAGAAGAAAAGGTGCAAATGAAACATGATGACAGGCACAAGGAGAGGACAAAGTGTGAAAGCAGAGATAAGTCAGATAAGGATAAGGCCACACGACATGATGACAAAAACAGTAAAGATGGCAGCAGGTCAAGCAGCAAGGAGTCTAAAGACAGAATAAAACAAGAGACCAAAGATAAGGGTAAAGACACAACGAACAAAACTGAAGAGAAAAAGAGTAAAAAGAAGTCGAAACACGAGAAAAGTGGTAAAGCTGCAGCGAAGGGGAGCGAGAAGACTGACAAAAAGAAGGAAGAGACAGAAACCGGTAAGTCATCTCGCTCTGACCGTAAGAGCAAGAATGGTGGAAAGAAAGGCAAAGAAAACAAAGGGAAGAGCATAACTGATGATCATAGAATTCATAGGGATAAGCGTTCGGATGACAGGCGGTCTACTGATCGAGATAGCAACGGAACCGCGCAGAACAGGTCAGTTGGCAGTACTACGTCTCGGACAAATGGCAACGATTCGCAACGTTCGCAGTCGCGTCGCGATAAAAGCGGCAGTAGTAGTAACAGCAGCAAATCTGACGGTGGCAACAGCGAATCGTCAACAGTTGGGTCATCGAAGAATGTTGAGGATAACATTCCTTCAACATCAAAATCAAGTTCTCCACCATCATCACTACCTTTCAAGAAACGGCCACTTTCCATCCAATCTGAAGATGAAAATGATTCAGTCAATGGTGGAAGCAGGGAATTTTATTGCATCAAGATTAAGAAACCGAAGATTGCCGCAAACATATTTGAAGTGAAAAAGATCATGATGCTTCGGAAATCACTTGCCAAGAAAGAGCGTAGACAGCAGAGGGAATTAAAGAGAATTGAATGTGCCAATGAAAAAGTTAAGGAGGTGAGAAGTGAAAAGAAAATGACTAAGCCAGTTGTCGCAAAGCGTAGAAAATTGGGCGATATAGAAAAGTCGTTGCGCAGGGACGTAGACGCGTCTCTGTCCAAGAAACAGATGCCGCAGGTCGAAAGTGATAAGGAAGACGGTCCGGCAGGGCTGAAATATTTTGGCTCAGAATTGAATCCCTCGCATTTGAGCCGCTCTGATTCTGATTTTTTGGCGTATGTTAAACGGCTTGTAGAGAGCGACAACTTATCAGAAATTTCCACCTCCTCAGATCCTGAGTCAGAAATGAGTGATATGGATGACATCATTCAGTTGCCGAGTTCTTATTTGGATGACATAGTAGCAGCAGAACTTGGCGCAAAGATTTGTAAGACTAACAAAGGCACGGAGATTGTGTTGAATTTGCCAGAAGATAAAGAAATGTCAAAAAAGGCTTTGCCTGGCCTACATTCCACCAAAAACGATTCTATTGTGGTGAATAAAGGTTCCACGGCAATTGATCATTTTTTGATTATTTCATCACCTGGGCAAGACACCGGCCTTACTAACCCACGTAAATCCATTATGAGGCACAATGTTGAAGAGAGATCAAATTTAAAACGAATTTTAGTACGAAGCAGTTCGTCGGACACGTCTGCTGATGACGTAATTTTAAATGACAGGAATGTGAAGAGAATTTTGAAGAGGCAGCATCTGTCATCAGTAGCAGGTACAAACAGCAACAAGAGTACTTCTGAAAAGATTGATGTGGCTTCGAACGGGTTGGATGCAGGAAAGATACCAGATTCTAGCTCAGATATACAGAAGAAAAGAGTGTTATCAAGGAAAAGAGTGAAGAAGGAAATTGCCTTTATGCCAGAAATGAAACCTCCAGAAGTAGCAGTGGAGAAGCGGGACCTTCGAAAATCCCGGAAGCCAAGCACTCGTTACTCAAAAAAAATATTTACCTCATGCTTAGCGGATGAAGACATGAATCATGACGCCTTCCTGGAAGAACGAGACAGCGTTAAACTTGACGATGATTCTTCAGTAGTTACCTGTAATGATGTTTCCAGGAATGTCCCAAGTAGAGCTAACAGTACATCCCCCATTTCTGTAGGTGGAAATAACATTATCTTTACAATGGTGAAAATTCCGGCCACCGTCACTCAAGCAGATGATGACAGTTCTGACAGGGAGAACGTGTCAGAACCCTTGGCTGAGGACAGATATGATATCATAAAAGATAACAACAATATTGATAAGGGAAGTTCAGAGGATGAAAGGGGATGCACAGATGGATCAATGCTGAATCAAGATCTTATTCTACCCACCTTGAGAGACCTCATGGTCGAGAGTGGGTTCAGAACGGAAGATGATAAGTCTGACATTCTGCCGTCCTTAGCGGGGATAGGAAAGTCTGTAGGTAATTCCTTGCCGATGACAGGGAGTAATGTCCACAACGTCGCACTTACCGTTAGGGGTGCCCATGAGACCAGCGAGGGAACACAGACAAAGCGGCCAGTCTTAAATCGGAGCCGACGTGTCGGTTTAGGAAGACCTCATCCAAAGAGATCATCAGAGCAAGAAGGTGAAGATGATACTGGAAATAGGATGCCTCCATCTTCCAACACGGCTGATTTCGTCATGCCTTTAAGTCCTGAAAGTGATGTTTCAGCTTCATCAGGGGAGGCCAAGAAATCTGTGGTAGACTCAAAAGGTAAAGTGTGATCTTTGTTTACCCAACTTACAACCTTTCTTTGATGATGTCAGCATTATATTCTTATTCTTATTCACTAAAGGTGGTTTATTTGTGTCAGCATTATATTCTTATTCTTATTCTAGCATGATCTTCACTAAAGGTGGTTTATTTTATGGAAAGCTTTCAATTTCGTTGTTGTTCCACATTTTGTTTCGTTCTTCTACCTTACTAGATATGTCCCCTAGTTTTTACTGTTTTAATAAAAGAAGCCATCGTGACCTGGGTCTTACTTTGGGTGTTTTACGTTGCACTTCTAATTCAAAAGCCCTAGATATTCTGTTTATGCACATACGTGTGTTAATGTCCAAACTATTCGGATCCTGTTATCTACAAAATTTTAAATCCCAGTTTATTTTGTTATCTCATTCCTGATTATGCCTTCTTTCTGTTTTCCTTACGATGCTTTAGTGTTTGTTAAAGTGAGACATTTTTAAGAAAATATTTTTCAGTGCTCAGGAAGCATTTGTTTCCCCGCCACCATAATACTTTTTTGTTACACAGGGAAAATACATTTCTCTGAAATTATAGACTAAAGAAATAAGTGAACAGTTGGGGCTTTCAAAAACGCATGCTTTTGAAACCTTAGACAAGAATTAGTGAGTTTAAGGAGTTATTGAAAATATCTACGTTACCTACAAATGAAGTTTCAGATTATTTTAATTCTTTCTTATGTTCTTTTCTAGTATTGTGCTGTTTTGTAAGTTATATTTCCAATAATACAGACATAATTGCTTCCAGTTATTAGGTTTGATGGTGTGGCATCACTGCTACACACACTAATTACTGATATGTTATTACTGAGTCAGCAAAGTGACTGGCTATGGGCTGGATACCAAGGTGTTTGATTTCTAGCAGGAGCGTGGTATTTTATTTCTGCCACATACTCATACTGGCACTAGAGACCATTGAGGCTTATGTCCATTGGCACTGAGTGGTTATTTCTGAGGGATAAAGTGGTTAGAATGTGAAATTTAGTACTCGCCTTGCTCTCATGCCTAGCAAGGTCTAAAGTTAAGGGCTTATTTGTATGCCCTTTATATATGTCTGTGGTGTGGTACTCAGGCACAGATTCTTATTTATATTATTTCTGCAGGTACTTATAATCTAGTGTCTTACAGCAGTAGTGCACGCTTATCAAGAGAATGTGTATTCTTATCTTGTTCACACATTTCAGTTGGTGATAGCCACACAGCTCCTTCTCCTTCAAATTCTGTTGAGAAGGCTGGTCATATGTCAAACAGCAGACTTGGCGATACAGAAATGAGGAAAAGTCTCAGGTAAATAGCAATTAAGTTACCAGAACCACAGAGCTGTCAAAGGTCTTTAATTTCTATAGTGAATTTCAGATAATGAAGTAATAATGAATATAAAGTAGCAGCGTTGTAGTTCTATAACTAGTAGCCAGTATGTACGAGATAAGAGTGAGAGACTTGCAGACCTAAGACCTAAGCTTAGGTGGATGACAATGTTTTTCAGCTGTACATCACAGCTTAAATGCAGTCCATTTGGCCATGTGTCACAGTAGTATGTTGTTAAAAAATTGAAATCCTTCAAGTATACATTCTTGCCAATAGGAGTGGTGGTATTGGGACTCCTGGTAGCCGTGCCCAACGTTATAGCAGTGATGACCTCTACAAACCTCGGCCGCTCTTCAGCCAAGGCTCAAGACGTGTCCGAGGACTAGTGTCGCCTTCTTTAAGTCAAGGTACACCTATAGCACAGCACTATTTTATGAATAGAGTACAATCAGCCCTCAACATGTCATTAATTGGTTCCTTCTTAAGGTCTTATACTCCGAATATTTCCCCTCGTTTTACCACTGTATGTTGTGAACGTTATAATATACAAGGTACAGGTGACCCTCGATTTGCGCCGATTCAGAATAACGCCGCTTTTGAAACCAGCAAGTCAAAAAGTAAAAGAAAAAATACTATTATTTATAACGTTTTACAATGTTTTTCATACTGATTCTTATACTGAATCGTAATTCTTACATCGCTGATTTTGAATAAAAATTATAAATACAGTCGCCTCTGCACTCATTGCTAAGTAGTTGCGAGATAATCTAAAAATCCGCCGACATTCTGCGACAGTCACGTGAGCATTGGTCACTCTTCACGGTGAGTCATTTGCCTTCAGCCTGGGAAAGGAGTAAGGAAAAATGCATTCAGTTTGCCTTTTGTTGACACATTGAATGTGCTGAAAACTGTGAGCTAAACGTGTTTGTGTTGTTGTTCGACCACTATTCTGCAGTAGCAACTGTTTTATATTTATAAATTGTAGAAGAGCCACCATGTCTGGTAAGAGAAGTGAATGTGTTGCTAAAAAGTTGTGTAGGTCTATTGCGTTAGAAGATAAGATGGATGTAATTCATAGAATAGAAGGTGGTGATACCCGTCGTAATGTGTGCAGAAGTATGAAGTTGCCTCCTTCCACTGTGACTACCATAATGAAAAATTCATATAAAATAAAACAGTCAACGCAACAGGCTACGAGAGTAAGTGCAACGCAAGTGATTTATAGCAGAAGTAAACTTTTAGAAAGATTGGAGAAATTACTGTCGCTAAGGGTGGATGACATGAATCAAAAAAACATTCCCTTGACTCATTGACTTCCCATTGATTTACATTATAAAAGGTTTCAATTTACGCTGGTTTGTCCAGGAACGCATCCCCGGCGTATTTAATTTTCACATATGTCTAATGCAGGTAATGTGCGTAGATTGTAATTTGGTTATGTTGATGTCTTACAGTCGAATAACAGGTGAATATATTGTAGCCATGTGATGTTTGATGTTCTCACGGTGCTGAAGATGTTGATGTGGTCTTAGGGCGAGGAAGATGGAGACGATATGCGTCTCTAAAATGTTAGTATCTGCCTACAAGTCTGCACGATGTTACGACCTCACAACGTGGAAGAGTAATATTGACCTATTTTAGTCTTTGAATGTAGATAAAAGCTGTGAGTTGTTAGGAGTACGAGTAGTCTGTTCTGTGTTGAGTGCCGGGGCCAGTCAAAAGCCTGTATTATGGTCTGTGTAGGTAAAGATTTGATGTTTTTCCTAATCAGGATGGGCCCCTGAAACAGGGAAATGCTTTATCACAGTTACTTATCAACTTTGCTTTAGAACATGTCATTAGGAAAGTCAGAAAATAAGTAGGAACAGGAAATGATGATGTTAATTCATTTGGTGAACAGAAAACAGAAGCTCCCTAGTAGCTAGTGGAGAAGTTGGTGTCATGGCTGTTTTGACCCTGGTGTTGAATGAAGCATTTTGCACTGTGTATTTTGTCCACAGAAGATGTCACAAACTGCGCTAGTAAGTGCCATGTCTCAGATGTCACCAAGACGCTTCCACCGTCATCAAAGACAAGAAGATGATTGCAAGATTTGGAGGTTCCAGTGTGCCGAACCCTTATTGTGCTAATGTAGTCATTTGTGCTCATTCCTCATACAGAAATGTAGAAGTATGTCTCTGCAGCTTAAGTAGCTACAGGGCAGATTGTGTACGTCTATGAACTATCATCTCTCTCGTATTCTTATTTGCTGTGCTCCCTGCAGCTGCTGTAGGCTGGACCTTCACTTTATATATTATGTATATTACGTGACAATGTATATGGGACAGAAAGAGCTTAACTGGTGCAAGATGAAAGACTCACTGCGCATAGTGAACTAAATGTCTGGTAGTGTTGCTAGTTTTAATTTCATTTGTTCTTGTGATTTGATATATAAGTGTATTAATTTAAATCCTCGTTAAAATTACTTCCATAACTGCTGATTTGCTAATTATTATGCATCTTCATCATAAGGGCTTGAAGATGTTGTAGTACTGTCGCTGGCTACGTTCCATGGCCAATGGCTTAGGTTTCACCATATCCGTCATCTGAAAAATTATAATTTTGGGAGAGTGCTGTGTTAGGATTTGTTACGTGCACGTATACACTCGGTAGTATAGCACTGCCACCACCCCATAGGAAAATCCACCTCTCATGTTCCTCTGGTAGCTTCTCCTAGGAGGTAAAGAATATATGAGAATTATTTCTGTTCTTACTATTATTTATAACGTTTTACAATGTTTTTCATACTGATTCTTATACTGAATCGTAATTCTTACATCGCTGATTTTGAATAAAAATTATAAATACAGTCGCCTCTGCACTCATTGCTAAGTAGTTGCGAGATAATCTAAAAATCCGCCGACATTCTGCGACAGTCACGTGAGCATTGGTCACTCTTCACGGTGAGTCATTTGCCTTCAGCCTGGGAAAGGAGTAAGGAAAAATGCATTCAGTTTGCCTTTTGTTGACACATTGAATGTGCTGAAAACTGTGAGCTAAACGTGTTTGTGTTGTTGTTCGACCACTATTCTGCAGTAGCAACTGTTTTATATTTATAAATTGTAGAAGAGCCACCATGTCTGGTAAGAGAAGTGAATGTGTTGCTAAAATGTTGCGTAGGTCTCTTGCGTTAGAAGATAAGATGGACGTAATTCGTAGAATAGAAGGTGGTGATACCCATCGTAATGTGTGCAGAGGTATGAAGTTGCCTCCTTCCACTGTGACTACCATAATGAAAAATTCATATAAAATAAAACAGTCAACGCAACAGGCTACGAGAGTAAGTGCAACGCAAGTGATTTATAGCAGAAGTAAACTTTTAGAAAGATTGGAGAAATTACTGTCGCTAAGGGTGGATGACATGAATCAAAAAAACATTCCCTTGACTCATTGACTTCCCATTGATTTACATTATAAAAGGTTTCAATTTACGCTGGTTTGTCCAGGAACGCATCCCCGGCGTATTTAATTTTCACATATGTCTAATGCAGGTAATGTGCGTAGATTGTAATTTGGTTATGTTGATGTCTTACAGTCGAATAACAGGTGAATATATTGTAGCCATGTGATGTTTGATGTTCTCACGGTGCTGAAGATGTTGATGTGGTCTTAGGGCGAGGAAGATGGAGACGATATGCGTCTCTAAAATGTTAGTATCTGCCTACAAGTCTGCACGATGTTACGACCTCACAACGTGGAAGAGTAATATTGACCTATTTTAGTCTTTGAATGTAGATAAAAGCTGTGAGTTGTTAGGAGTACGAGTAGTCTGTTCTGTGTTGAGTGCCGGGGCCAGTCAAAAGCCTGTATTATGGTCTGTGTAGGTAAAGATTTGATGTTTTTCCTAATCAGGATGGGCCCCTGAAACAGGGAAATGCTTTATCACAGTTACTTATCAACTTTGCTTTAGAACATGTCATTAGGAAAGTCAGAAAATAAGTAGGAACAGGAAATGATGATGTTAATTCATTTGGTGAACAGAAAACAGAAGCTCCCTAGTAGCTAGTGGAGAAGTTGGTGTCATGGCTGTTTTGACCCTGGTGTTGAATGAAGCATTTTGCACTGTGTATTTTGTCCACAGAAGATGTCACAAACTGCGCTAGTAAGTGCCATGTCTCAGATGTCACCAAGACGCTTCCACCGTCATCAAAGACAAGAAGATGATTGCAAGATTTGGAGGTTCCAGTGTGCCGAACCCTTATTGTGCTAATGTAGTCATTTGTGCTCATTCCTCATACAGAAATGTAGAAGTATGTCTCTGCAGCTTAAGTAGCTACAGGGCAGATTGTGTACGTCTATGAACTATCATCTCTCTCGTATTCTTATTTGCTGTGCTCCCTGCAGCTGCTGTAGGCTGGACCTTCACTTTATATATTATGTATATTACGTGACAATGTATATGGGACAGAAAGAGCTTAACTGGTGCAAGATGAAAGACTCACTGCGCATAGTGAACTAAATGTCTGGTAGTGTTGCTAGTTTTAATTTCATTTGTTCTTGTGATTTGATATATAAGTGTATTAATTTAAATCCTCGTTAAAATTACTTCCATAACTGCTGATTTGCTAATTATTATGCATCTTCATCATAAGGGCTTGAAGATGTTGTAGTACTGTCGCTGGCTACGTTCCATGGCCAATGGCTTAGGTTTCACCATATCCGTCATCTGAAAAATTATAATTTTGGGAGAGTGCTGTGTTAGGATTTGTTACGTGCACGTATACACTCGGTAGTATAGCACTGCCACCACCCCATAGGAAAATCCACCTCTCATGTTCCTCTGGTAGCTTCTCCTAGGAGGTAAAGAATATATGAGAATTATTTCTGTTCTTTCCAGTGGCAGGTGTCGCACTCTTTAGGATGGGTAGGGATGCTTCAATCAATAAATGCCTTTCTCTAGTTATTTACAATGTAACACACTTGAAGTACATAATGTAGATTTAAATTCACTCTTCTGTTTCCTGGTCCTCTATCCTAAGCTATTTCTACCTACTCCCTCATCTATCTTCATTAGGTCATCAGTATTTAATTACCTCTCTTAACCCTTTCACAGTATATCCTTTTACCCTTACTGTACTCAGCTTGATGACATCCCTTATTGTAGTCATCATCCTCAGCATTCTGTGATCATCCCCTAATTATTCATCAGAACCAAAATTGTCAGCATCCACTTATATGTTAGCAAGGTGGAGATAATACCTGTCATGGGCCAAAACTCACTTCGTCCCATGATTCTACATCAGGGGTTGGTTATTTACTAACATTAATTCACTTCTAGAAGTGTATTATCACTGCGTATTGTATTAAAAGTGTGGTTTGAGTTAGTAATAGACAATTCTGCTATTAAACATTGTGAATTACCTGAAGGATCAACAGGAGATTGCCGTTTCCTTCAATAAGGACGCATAAGACAGTCAATATAGTGTCTGACCACACACTGGGCAACCGTGGTTCATTCCTCAGCATTGGCAAAGGATTTTTCTTTTAGCCTGTGCATACAAACCACCTTCCTGTCCAGTGGGTACCATCGGTCCTTACCCCAGGAGTAAAACATGGTTAGGGTGTGATGCGGACCACTCACCTTCATCAATTGCTGAAGTCAAAGATGAGTAGGAGCTGTGCCGTCTCTCTCCCCAGGTGCCTACATGGTATGTAACAGAACAGCTTGCCTTTACCTAAGGAAGTATTTCACAGAAACGTGTGCCTGTATGGTACAAATTCCTGTTAAAAGTAGTGTTTTAATAAATTGTGAAATTGTTACTTACCATTAAATAAGGCATAATTTTGCGGCATTATATTTTATTCCCAGGGGCTCTGAACGCCCAAAAGAAGGGATTTAAATTAACTCTATGCATTGAAGCCTCAGTTTTGTATATTTCAGCTTGATGACCTGTCTGAAGAAAATGAAAAGCAAGAAAGAATTGAAGTTCATTGGATCATGGATGGTAAAATGTAAATGTATTTTGAGAAAAATCATTTTAAAAGGTTAGATCATTAGCTTGGTTTAGCTGTCTGGGCAGTGCTAAACAAGCTAACTTCATAACACAAACCAAATCATGGAAGCAACACACAATGTTTTCAGTTAATATATATTCTGTAGCCATAGAAGATATAAATATTTATAAAAGTATTACACAGTTTTATGAACGATAACCACTGAGATATAAAAGTATAATTCTGGCAAGAAAAATAATTTTTAAGTACCTTTATCAAATAAACATTTTACACAATATAAACATCCCTGTGAAAGAAAAATGCCATAACCAATGTGCAGTGATTCAGTCACAGCTTGGGAGGAAAAAGTGCAGTTTGGCATCATCACACCCTGTATATCATCACATTTGTCATAATAATCATTAAACAAGAATTCACCTCTGCTAGTTATTTACCTCTGACAAAAAAAGTTCCTAAGGAGAATCTATACAATATTTAAAACAGTGAGATGAAGGAAATTAATTTGAATTGTCCTGCTACAAGATTTGTATCACCAACAGGTGAACATTTAGGCTGATGAGTTGTGCATCCTTTGCAATTTATGTGTACTCCAACTGGAATGCACCTTTCAGCTCTAAATGAACAAGTAAATTGTCATCTGTAGCTAAAATGAATAATGTAGCAAAAATACAGATAGTTATTGAGCTATAGTAAACTAATCGTATGTTCTCGTAACAAATTTAAATCACATATTCATCATAACATTAAAAATATGTGACAAAAGAATTTAAAAAAATAATGTTGTATATCAAAGACTTAACAAGATAACACTTATAATAATATAAATCACACTGTTACAGGATACTATCAAAAAAGGGCCACGGAGGCAGTACTATAGAAAATGGTTGCTTGCATTTTTTGTTTCTTAATTTTATTTCCTCATATTTTAACTTCCATATACTAATTTAATTTAGCGACATTCCTTTAAAGACGTTGCAGTTAAAAATAAACATTAACTTAATATGTCTTTAAATATTGAAGTTACACAGAATTTTACTTATAGTTGCTTTATAAATTTTGCAGCCAAATTATATGGAAACTCCAAATAGAGAAGAAGTTCTCCCCTTAATGGCTCCAATCCATCATCCCTCTTCTAAACACATTTTAAACATCAGAAAAGAAGATATATCTGCTTGGCTAGTCACAGCAGTCTTTGCAACTCAAGATCCTGTTGTCCCTTATAAAACTAACAGAAAAATGACTTAGATACTAGTTAAAGCTTACATATTAATGTACATTGTATGGTTCTGAGTTCACTTAACCTGGTTCACCAATGGGTGGACACAATCCTGAACTAGTTCCATCCACTTCACAACCCATTTCCTTAATATTATCCTCTCATCTCCTCGCTCTTCCAAGTAACCATTTTACACCAGGTTTCCTCATCACAATTCTGTATGCTTTCCTTGTCTGCCCATTCTAGGTACATGCCCAAACTTATGTGCAATAGTTCAAATAACAACATCCCAAATTATACCTCTACCAATTGAACGTAATGAAGTGTAGGTATATAGTAACATAATTGTGGTGAATTGTGATGGCAAAATATAAATCCCATTCCGGTGCAGCTTCCTAAAACCTGTGTGAATGTTAAATCCATACAGTTGCCATGGTAACAGCCAGAACAACGTGCTGTGAGAACCTGAAGCCTTACATAAGTAATACATATATAAAAAATACATTTACTGTAATGTAATGTGAGTAAACGGGTATTCAACTATTTGTTTTGTATCATTATAAAATTAAATTTTAATAAAATTATATGTTTTAGCTGTATTATACATTTATACACTATAGGATGGTTCATTTTTAAGACTGTTGTTATAACAACGTACTAATTTAATGCAAAACTATAGTACATTTCTTTGTTACTCATTAAACTTAATGTCATTTCAGAAGCACCTGTTTTATTGGAAACCGAACAGACTACCTGCAGCATTACAAGCTCAAAGAACTGAAATCATGATAAGCAGTAAGTGTCTATCAGTTAGTGCATTCAATTCTGTACAGGCATGAAACTTGTTCACGCGCTCCAAGGGTCAGACATTCATAAAGGGTGATTGAGCATAAACTGCTGAGGAGAATATTTAGACCATAAAAAACATAACAGAGAATCACAATCAGTAAATTTAAAAATTTTATCATTATTTTCATGTTACAATTTCAGACTTAAACAGAGAAAGGCAAAGGCATATTGATTGCTGAATGAGACGTATTCCCTACATGCATCTCCTAGTGTTCGGAATATGGCGGAGGAGAAGCCATGTCATGGGCTTGTACAGAATGTTGAGTTTGCGGCTGGAGTGGCTTCATATTCAGGCTCTTCATGTAACCAACTAACTGTTCTGGAACTTCTGCCAACACTTCTTTTGCAAGGTGTGCTTTTGCAGCTTTCACATTTGTAAGACGTTGAAAGTTTCTGAATGGCACAAACTGGACGATGTCACGTTTCGCCTGAACACCGTTGTATACTAAAGGTATTGTATCAGCATCAAGTACATTCATGGCTGTGAAATCAGCGTTACCAACGCCAACAATGATGATTGACATAGGGAGAGTAGACGCCCTAATAATAGCCTGCAGGAGACAAGAATACCAAACACCAATTCAGCCAAACTACAATAGTGGCATGTCATATAACATGTGAAACTTCTGTAACTTCATGCAGCAATGACCTTCTAAAGTTGATAGTCACTCAGGAAGCTAAAAAATTCCCCACATTTTGTAAAAACCATTACCATGTTCACAAATAGCCTACTAGTCCGTCTTGAATCCAGGCAAAAAACCTCACACCCTTCTAACTCTTTATATGGGTCATATGACAACCAAGCATCTTCTCCTCCCTTATTCTTCCTTCCCTCTGTGTAACATATTTCCTGACCTGTTGTGCCTATCTTCCTCTGGGTGCTTTCCTTTTACTTTCATGTTCAGAAACTTCCTTCGGATTATTTAAGAACTTGAAGCTTTCACAGTAAATATACACCAAAAACCTCTTAGTCAATTAGCTGTGTCGAAGTCGAGTCAAAAACTGACATTTCGAAGACCTGCCCTGACTCCATCATTAGTGTCATCTTACTATTTTGTTTGTTAGTTTATCTTCTTCCCAACTTGTTTCTTTCAAATCAATTTTAATATTATCTTCAAAATTTCAAATTAAAATTCTGTATTCCGTAGCTCCCCCACCATGTGCTACGTCTTAACCTGGCTTGTCCTTGATTTTATGATCATCTGAATAATCTTTCATGAAAAGTAGCAACTGTGCATTTTCCTTAGCACCGTGTACTTTCCCCGTTTGGTGTTCGGATATACAACACACAGGAATCTCAGCATACGTGCATATCGCACCATCAGAATGCACAGCAAAGTCTTACTACAGTATAGTAAAATGCTTCAAAAATACGACAAAGCTCAAATATTTGGCAATGCAATTGTACTTGGTTCAATTCTTTACCTTTTTTGAGCAAATACGAATTATGTGACGTACTTACCTGCTTTGTTTGAGGCATGTCAGTAATGACTCCATCTGTTATGATTAACAGGATGAAATACTGCGACCCATCCTGATACATTTCGGCAAACTTGGCTACGTGGTTGATGACGGGACTAAAGTTGGTTGGTCCATATAACTGAATCTGTCTGACGCAGCTCTTATATGCTTCAAGCACACCTGAATCCAAAATGATGTAATGTCAGTGCTTGAATTTTTCGTACCCTTAATTAAGATGACAAATCAATCGAGGATAATAAGGATTTGTAGGATGCATGGTGAAGATGAAAAGTGTTCACAAAATTATAGTTGGAAAGCCTTAAGGCTGCTCAGAAAACCTACATGCAGCTGGGAGGATGATATTAAAATGGATATTAGGGATACAGGCTTTGCTGTTGACAGTGAGAATTAATTAATGGTGTGACATGATGTGAAAAGCCTATATAAACAGGTTTACTGCAATTTTCATGTTCTCGTGCCTCTGAGCCATACCCGATATTCCGTTGCAGTAAGGATTGTCGGGTTTCATGTTCACAAAGAACTCGTGCGACACTCGACCATCCGGAGGCAGTCGAGCGCCAAATCCCAGTACAGGAAACATGTGATCAGTGTCGTAATCTTGAATTATCTCCCCGACAGCTGTCAGAGCCTGTTCATACTGGTTTGGCAGAGCAGAAGCGATGAAGTGCAATGAATCAGGAGACTGTGGATCACCATTAGATGCTGCAATGAATCGGATAAAAAATGTCGTTTTGCTGTCCAGTACACAATCAAGCCATTAGTTTGTAAAGTAGACTTGATAAAATATAAAGTCAGTCAGTATGCCAAACCACACAAATGATACCCCAAATCCAGTTGTGAAATGGGCATTTATTTTGACAACCTCGTGAAATGGCCCAGAAAGTAAAGCAACGAAAACGAGCTGGCTTATTCTTACCTGTGAAGTCTATAGCTATGGTACAGTTGAGCTGCATGCCTCCCATAATGTAATCCAAGAATGAGTATACCTTCCTAAATTCATAACGCATGAGGACAATCTCACCAGAATTCTTGTACGATGCTTTTCGCTGGAATAAATCATTTCAACATTTATTTTGCTTTTTAACTTTTAGTTTTATCATACATGTGGAATACCTGCCTTCTTACACTGAACTCTTTATTAACAATTTAAAAATGGTAATGGTAATGGCTAACAACCTTGCACCG